ACCACTGTATATTGTTAGATTTCAGGTCCCATCAGCCCCAACCAGCATGCCCTGTGGTCAGGGGTGGCAGCAGTCTTAGTCCAGTAACATTTTTGTAGGACACCAAATTGACTACCCCCCTGGCATGCATACGGTTACACATCTGGGACATGTTTGTACTCATCCATTTCCATGCTCAGGCTTGCCAGCGCTGCTTGTCGGGCGTTTTCTACCTGTTTGGGCTGTACTTAGCATTGTCTGCTTTAAATAAAAACGTTGCAAAAGGCATTTATTATTATTATTATTATTATTATTATTATTATTATTGAAAGATTTTTCATAGGTAACAAAAGTACATTCGGTGTCTGTGTTTTAAGCATCCTTCATACAAATCAATGACAGTAATTTTGAGACATTTTTTGTTGTAGATAATGTGGGGTGGGGTCGAGGTGGGGAGGGAGAGGGGAGAAAGTAGAGAAAGAGGAAGTTTTGAGGGAGACGAGCTATTTCCATAGCTATGAGATGGGGGAAGCAGGGGTCGGAGCAGATTGTATTTGAGACCGATATTCTAGTGGCGAATTTGTTCTTTTGCAGGGTTTACTCAGTTCCATGCAAAGCTGCTGTTGCTGATACGAACATGGTAATGCTTAAAAATCGCTGTGATATTGCATGAAGCTCGATAATGCTTAATAGGGCTCCTATGGCCTTCTTCAGGTGTTTTGCATCTGAGCAATGTAAATACATGAGAGGGAGGTGGTGGGGAGCAGCATGCCACCTCCATTGTTGTCTTGATTGCTGTCTACAAGTGGGAGGGCAGACTTCTGAAGCTAGAAGCTTCCTGTCCTGTTAGAGGCTCCCTGAGTGTTTTTAGACTTCTCATTTTTCCAGGGACCTAGAATCTACAGGAGGCTCTCCCTTCTATCTCACAAAAGACCACAAGAAAAGAGTCCTTGATCCTGCTTGAAATCAGAAAAAAACTATTTGTTGAATTGTCAGTGCCTTTTTTATTCTAAGCAGCTAACTCTAACTATATTAAAGCTGGCTAACTTGGGAAAACCTTCATTTTACACTGCAGCTGTCCATGTGCAGCAAAGGCTAAGTGGCCTCGTTTCTCTTGCAAGCCACCTTTGGGGGAGATGTTTTGGGAGAGATGGAGAAAGGAAGGCTTAGCCACTACCCCTGCCAGTTGGTGTTGGGACCCCCATGGTGGTCAAAGCAGTACTCATGCAAGGGAGAGGGGGACAGTCATGGCTTTGTAACGTGTGTGGCTTGTTTCTTCTGTTCCCTAAACCATTAAGCAAGCTATTTACAATTTGTAGAGGGGTATCCAAGTTAGTTGCAGCAAAAACATCAGTGTCTTACGACAAATGTGGCTTAAGCTTTTATGTACTGAAGTCCACAGGTTATCGAGTTTTTCCTTTCTTTCTGAAAACAAGCAGAAAAGTTTCCCATTTCTTTCCAAGTTACAGAAACCAGCTGATGACAAACTAAAGGAGTTTTGGATTGACTTCAATTTTGGAAGTGAGAGCATTACTTTCTACGTGGACAGCCTTGAGGTAAAAAGAAAAGAAAAAGATACTGAGCCCCTTTGCCCTTGGCTGCTCTTAGCTGTACTAAAATAACAGACACAATTTTACTTCAAATATCCTTTCAGGGTGGTCTCTGGGAGTCGGTGAGGTTGGCAAAGGAAGCAGTTAGTAGCTATCGTCTGACAGGTGAGACTCTTCATACACTCAAAGGAAACGTGTGTGTAAACTGAGCTTGTGCAAATGGAGAGAAATCTTAGTTACTGTTGACAGGAAATAGACTTGCTGTATGAATCCAGATGTGAAGCAGGAAGAGTGTTTTAGATTCTTAAAGTGTTTTGTGGGGAAACATGAGTGGCTTCAGATTCAAGAGAGCCTTTTCCTGGAATTTTCTTGCTCTGCTCTCCCTAGTTATCCCACTCTGTGTAGATGACAGGAGCGGCCATCTTGCCATAGGCAAATAATGGTAACTTTTGACATGTAGGGAGAAGATAGCAGATATGAAAACACCATGAGGTTTTCTTGGGTTTGGAGAAAGGTTAAACCATTATTGCAGCTGCAATTGTTTTTGTGGTCTGCCTTTGTGGTGCCTTATTTATGCTGTTTGAACAAAGTGTTGGCATCTTCTAGAAAACATGCATTTTTCTTTTTTTCTAAAGAGGAAGGGGGAGAAAAGATTCTTAAAATGGTCTTGAAGGATCCCACGGCCATCAACAAAAAAGAAGTAAAAAAGATACAAATTCACTTTGATAGCCAGTTTGATGTGTTGACACAGCTCTTCAATGTAATGGGAAAGGATAAAGTGATGGCAAGTATTTCTCCCCCTCCCTTCATTTGACCTTTGTTCAGAACCCTTCTGTGGTCTTGAATTTTGTGTGTCATGTTGGTTCTCTTTATGGACGTTAATATAATAGCCAAGTGCTCAGGTCATTTGTTAAATAAGCACAACTGATAACTGCTCCATTTGCCTCATGTTATAAAGCATTGGCTGGTTGCTTAATAATAACAACAAAATTCAAGATTGGAAAGCTGCAGATTCTGAACTTGGCAGGCATTTTTTCATTTCCTACAACTTTTATCCATGAGCGAGTGCTTTTCCTGGATTAAACTCTGCTTTTCCAATAACTTAATTGGACAGATAGTGCTTGACCAAGATGATGATAACTGCAGTGGAGATCAGCCACAGCAAAGTACAATAGGTGAGTGTCTTTTGAATGCACCAATATTAGTATCCAAGTCAGATGTGATGCTTAATTGTAGTCTTTCTGGGTCCTCCGGCCATTTGATTCTAGATAACTGGTACCCAAGGAGAGGAGGCTCTTCCTTGTGGCATCTTGTGGTTGGAATTCCAGATGCATCCCAGTGAGAATTGCCTGGTGCCAACTGTGATTACTTTTTTGGTGCTGTGCAAAGTCATCTTTATTTGCTCAGGCAATCAGCATGTTTTATAATAGCCGGTCAATTATGTGTGTCTTACAGATTTACTGATTTTTACTGTGGCTGTTGCTTCTGTGATTTGTACTGAATGCTTTTTTTGTTGTTGCTCATCACCCTGAGGAGTTTTGTACTGGAGGGCAGCCTGTAAATTTACTGATAGTCTATTAACTGGTCTCAGCCATGTATGTAATATCCTCAATCTTACCTTTTGCCATATCCTGTATATAAAGATCCCCATCTGTACAAGAGCAGCAATTTTAGCCAAAAAAAAAGACTCTTTCTAGGCCTTTCCGCCTTTTGTGTTGGTTTAATTTCACAACTGTTGTGTGCTTCTTCCTTGCACTCTCTTGGCTATTGCTTCAGGTGACTTGAGTGTGGAAGCATTGTTATTCTTTTTAATATTACACACACACACTTACTGATATAAACACATACAGAATACAGCCCTTGTTTTTATTCAGCCCTTGTTTTTTTTCCACGACCGGAGTTCACTGAGATTGAGAAGACAGGGTTGGATTGCTGCCTCTTTGCCTTTCCACAGCTGGCATTCCAGAAGCATTCCTTTTTAGAGTTATGCCTCCCTATCTTCACAGGGAGAATTAAACAAAGGGTAAATTGAGATTTGGGATGGGCTTTCCCTTGGTCTTGGTGCCACGCTTCATTTGCAGTAAGAGCCATCTCTCTTCCAGGGTATTGGGGTCAAGGGTGTTTTTTTAAACACATGGCTTGTGCAAATGTTTCTGATGAGAGAAATAGTTTGTGCATCCGAAGCATCCCAACTGAACATGCCCAACTGAGCCGGTTTTCTCAATAAAGAAGTCATTGACAAGCCAAGATGGACCATGGCAAAGAGGGGCCAGAAGTGAGGGGTCTATGTGTGTGGTTGGAGACTTCATGTCTCTTCTGTTTACATCCTGAGTATGTTTACATCAGGGGCTGTATGGGTGGCACCAGAGCTAATCATGGAGGAAAAAAGTCTTAATCAGGAACAAATGCCTCCTTCCTTTAGTTTTCACCAGGCATAGGCAAACTCCGGCCTTCCAGATGTTTGGGACTATAATTCCCACCATCCCTAGCTAACAGGACCCATGGTCAGGGATGATGGGAATTGTAGTCCCAAACATCTGGAGGGCCAGAGTTTGCCTATGCCTGGTTTTCACCATAGCTGCCTTTTTAGAGCCTCATTCGAGTCTATTCTGAGTTTGGTGGGGTTCATGTCAAGTATTTTTCTTCCTTACTACAACTAACTAATACAGCTACAGTACTGGAAAGCAAGTGAAATTAATCATTTGTGACCAGGCTTTTTTTCTATCCAGAATGGAAGCCTCCCCTCCCCTCAGCTGAATAGCCTCAACAAGCCTCTGGCTGGCGAGGAGACACCCAGAGCCCGAAGATTATCCTCTTTGAGCTCTGGGGTGGGTCTGCTGGGGAAAGTGCATTCTGGCACCTTTTTTCTGGGGAAAAAAGCACTGAGACTATAGTGTGACATAGAATGTAGAATACACACACATATATGCATTACACTTCATATAAATGGTAGAAAGCTGGGGTTGAGGCTTTTTCCCCGACCAAACCATACAATTATGAAAAAGTTTATATTGTATCAAATTAAATGTGGCTCCTTCTGATAGTTCTGAAACTGCATAGAAAGAGGGAAACGTTTTTAAAAGCTGGGGGAAAGAAAGAGGAATTTTAAAATGGGAACTCTGGAAGGATGGTAAAATGGGGCAGCTTCTGGAGGTATTGGGGTGTGTGGAATAAAATGCATTTGCACCCTTAGGCAACAGCATGCCCATGTTTGGCCTAGAAAATTTGTCTATACTGCTGATTTTTTTATTTTCATTTTTTTACAGTGGTAAGCAGACATGTGGAGAGTGGAAAAGATCTTGAGGGTTCAGATTCCTTACTGAACGTTTCAACATTACTGTCGGTTGCAGCTACATCCGTGAGCATATTTGGGGACAACATTTGCCAGATGGGGTTGTTGCAGTTGCTGGGTGCCCAGCTTTCTGTTCTTTCCTTTGCTGCTGAATACAAGTGAATACAAAATTACATAGAGCCATGTGACATCATAGCTCAGTCGGTAGAGCATGAGACTCTTAATCTCAGGGTTGTGGGTTCGAGCTCCTTGTTGGGCAGAAAGGTTCCTGCATTGCAGAAGGTTGGACTTAGATGACCCTCATGGTCTCTTCCAACTCTACAATTCTGTTATTCTGTTCTATGAACTACCCATCAAAATCCAGTATCCCCAACCCTCAAAATGTCCTCAGCTGACAGCTGCTATAAAATTGTCAACTCAGCAGCCATATATGAACGAGAGAGGTAAAATGGTAGGAACTGAGAAAATAAAGAAGGTGTTGGGAAAAGTTGCTGTGTGTCAGAAGAAGCACTGCAGTAGCTGAAGCAAGGTGAGCTAAATGGGGTTGGAGTGTTACTGTTTGAAGAGTTACTTTAAAGGTTCCCAAAAAAGTACATTGCTGCAAAGAGGGTGGCAAATAAAACCCCCAACAGGATTTGTTGGGACAGATGGGGGAGGGAGGAGGATCTTGATAATTAATTCACTATATATTTGGAAAGTTGTTGGTTTGATATGCATTTGTATGCCTCAATTTTGCATGATGGTTCCTGAGATCAAGGAACAGGTTTTCATCTATGTTTGGATACAGTGGGAGCCATTTTGAAACAAGTCTATGGCCCGAACCTTTCAAAACAGTGCTGATTTTTTGGGGTTTTCTTAGAAATCCTGAGCAAAGCCAGGTATGAACCTGCTAGCAGTATAATATTTGTTTATCCTGGATAGCTTTCCCAGTAAGTCTATACAAATGCTACCGCACATCATTGTTTGGCCCTGTATATATGAAGGAATGTCTCTACCCCCATCGTCCAGTTCTGAGGGCCTTCTGACAGTTCCTTCACTGTGAGAAGGGAAGTTATAGGGAACCAGGCAGAGGACCTTCTTGGTAGTGGCTCCCGCTCTGGGGAACGCTCTCCTGTCAGATATCAAGGAGATAAACAATGACACAGTTTTCCTAAGAGATCTGAAAGCAGCCCTGTGACAGGAAGTTTTTAATGTTTGATTATGTTTTTAAATCTGTTGGAAGCCACCCAGAGTAGCCGGACCAACCCAGTCAGATGGGCAAGGTACAAATAGTAGCAGTAGTACAGTCATACCTTGGGTTACAGATGCTTCAGGTTGCGTTTTTTTGGTTTATGGACCACCAGAACCCGGAAGTACCGGAACGGGTTACTTCTGGGTTTCGGCGGTCAAGCATGTGCAGAAGCACCGAATCGCAACCTGTGCATGCGCAGACGCGCCGCTGCGGGTTGCGAACGTGCATCCAGCATGGATCATATTCGCAACCCGAGCGTCCACTGTAATAGTTAATAATAATTAAAGGTAAAGGGTAAAGGGACCCTTGACCATTAGGTCCAGTCGTGACCGACTCTGGGTTGCGGCGCTCATCTCGTTTTATTGGCTGAGGGAGCCGGCGTACAGCTTCCGGGTCATGTGGGCAGCATGACTAAGCCACTTCTGGCAAACCAGAGGAGTGCACGGAAACACCGTTTACCTTTCTGCCGGAGTGGTACCTATTTATCTACTTGCACTTTGACGTGCTTTCAAACTGCTAGGTTGGCAGGAGCAGGGACCGAGCAGGGGATTCGACCCGCCGACCTTCTGATCGGCAAGTCCTAGGCTCTGTGGTTTAACCCACAGCGCCACCCGCATCCCTTGTATTAGTTATTCATCACCTGAAAGAAGAAGAAAATCTTGTTATGTAGGACTTCCCTGATTTTGCCCAAAGGCAAGTCTGCTTAAAAGCCTGTTTCCATCTCTAGCCTGGAAAAATACATTTCTAACTGGTGTAAATATCTATTTTCTTACATCTCCCAAACAGACGTTTATAAATGTACTCTGTTGATGCTCATCCACCACCCCTCTCTTTCTAGCAGAAAACCATTGCTCCTTCAGATGCCCCTGCAACTAGAGAGAGTCAACTGACAGGAAAACAAAATGACAGTCAAGGTCAGAATGGTTCTTGCTGTTTCCTGTTCCAAGGCGTCAATCCTAACCATGTCTACTCAGAAGCAAGTCCCGCTTAATTCAATGGGGCTTGCTCCCAGATAAATGAGGTTAAGACTGCAGCCTGTGTATGATTACTTATTATTTAAACCAGTAGGACTTGTTCAGAAAGTGAATGAATTTAGGGTTGGGTTTCTAGCCTTGCACGGCATTTTAATGTTTATAAGCTCTGCTGATTTAGTTTTCTCTCCCTTTTTCAACTGAAAGCTTCTGGTGATGTAGGTGCAGTTTCTGGAACAAATGCTTTGAAAACTCCTCCGCCATTGAAGACAAGTGCATCGAATGCCTCTCCACAGAGACGAAAGGATAGGGCTGTGTAAGTGCAGCTGTAGAGATCTCTATTAAAAGACAGTTTTATTGTGGAATGTTCAGTTGTCTGATGGTCTATCTGACTGCTTTGCAGCTTCATCAGTTTATATAGAAAGTGTCATGGGGGGCCCAATTTTTTTAAACTTGTGCTTTGTACAGGAAAAATTACAAGGCATCTTAGCATGGTCACTCTCCCTCAGCTAACCTACTTCACGGGGGTTGTAATAAAAAAGAATGTACATTTGTGTGTTGCCCTATTTGGAAGTCAATAACATTGGACCTAAGTATCTTTACTTCAGAGAAAAATCCCACTGAAACTGGCTGAGCTTCCTTCCCAGCAAACTTGTGTTAGGACTGACATTTAAGTGAACTTTCCACAGATGCTATTTGGTTCTGTTGGCCTTGGGATGACAGCTCTGGCATATAATTCTTGCCTGTCATTCTTTCTGCTGCTTTTAGTGAGCCAGGCATTGAAGGCGAATCCCATCTGCAAGGTATACAAGCATTTCCCGTAGACGTTGATTTAACGCTTTCACCCAGTTGCAACAGTACGGATTTAGTGAAGGTAACTTGCATTTTTAAACTTGGTTTTCTTAGCAGGTTCCAAAGGTTTTAATTCTTTGCTTGTGTTCTGTTTCACTTGATTAGCTTATTGATTTTTTTACTTATTTAAGGGACTTCCACCTCACCTTTTGACAGGTTTGCCAGGGGGCGGGGCTTAGCACTGTATGTAAATGTGCAGTGGGCTGGAATGGAAGAAATTGTATATAATTGATTTCTGACAGTTAACACTGTTATTCCCTTTGATAACTGGCCCTACTTTGCTCGGTAGTATTCTTTTTTCTAAAAAGTAACCCAAGAGACTTACCTTTACCGGTGTGAGGTAACTGCTGTTGTTTCATTATACCCACTTCTAATTAAAACAAAGCAGACTAGGTTCCCATTCTTGAATCTGTGATTATCTGACTCTCCGTGTTTCCTTTCCAGGATGCTCTGCTGGAGAAGACAAATGCCGTCAGAAGTTCAGCCAGACAGATCACAGAGGCAAAGTAAGGAAGTTTTGTTTGGTATGTTTTAAACCAGGGGTTGACACCCTAAGGCCCATGGGCCACAAGCAGCCCATGGGGGTCATTTATTCGGCCCATGGACCCCTGCCGCCCGCTCGGTCGGCTCCCATGCACTGTGCTAAACCAGCGCAGAGCAGAGCAGGGACCGCCTTCCGCGACGCTGGCTGGCTTCCCATTGGCTGCAGGAAGCTCCTGCAGCCAATGGGAAGCTGCACATGCCACCTCCGCGCCAGAAGGAGTGAGGGAAATAGCGTTTACGTGTGTGCGCACACACACTCCGGCCCACTGTGGCATCTGCGGGACCATGAACCGGCCCAAGCCACAAAAACTTTGCCGACCCCTGTTTTAAACAGACGAGGTGAATATTTTAAGTTAACATCTTATCCACTGATTAAGGGCAAGTAATTCTGTTTCAAACATCCACAATACTCTGTTCATGGCAGAAGTATAATATTTTTAAAGTAGCTCCTAAGGATCAGAGGTTACCTTAACTTTTTTAATACGTTTCATGAGGTGATTTTTCATGTTCATTTCTCATGGTGACAGACTATCCATATTCGTTCTCTGTGAAGCGAGAAGAAGTATTTTGCACATCAGAGAAACCCACAGGAATCTGCCATGGCCTGGTATGAATGATACCAAGAAGCACTAAATTGGTATAAATCCCTATGTGACTGGGGTGGACTTTGGTAATCTTTGCTAATATGGTGCCCTAAGGGAGGCCAAAATCTGGCACAAACAAATGGATCTTCTCAGTTATGGATTGTCTCAATTTTGCACCCTCTCAGCTTGGCATCCTATGTGGGCAGTCCGCCCACACCACCCTAAATCTGGTGTTGACCATGTAAAAATGTAGCCCAAGAAATGTCAGTCCATCGAGAATCATAAGGGCAGGAAGTGGGAGAGCCCATGCCTTGCAAGCCGACAATTCCAGGTTGAACCCTTGACGCTTCCAGTTAAAACGAACTAGACAGCAGATGCTTTGGAAATCTTCCACCACAAATCCTGGAGAACCACTTCTGGTCAATCAAAATCAAGCCTGGACTAATAGTCTGTCCAATATGCAGCTTCTTGTTGTCCTAAGAGGCCATCATGCTGGAGGTGGTGTAGGGGGTAGCTGAGTTCAGCCATTGATTTGGAAAGCTATGGCTGCAGCTCCGTTGAGCCGCCCATCTTTGAATTTTCATAGCGACTTTGAAAATGCACCCTGCTTTTAGGTTATTTTCACAGGAGTAAAAAGTTCTGTTTATCTGGAAATGTTCACTTTGCAGGAAGGATGCGTATGAATTTGAATACACGTCTGATCCTGCCACACATGAGATGGTGAGACACTTAAGTTGGAGAAATATTTTGAACAGAGTTTTTGGTGAACAAATTATATTGTGAATAGTTAATATAAATTGTGCCCTTCTCTTCCACCTTCCCCACACACCTAGTACTGTAGTTAGTGGTGTTTCTCAGACACCCTGAATTTGGTTGTTGTTTTTTTAAAGAGAAAGATTTTGTGCCCTAGGTTTACTACTTGCTGGCAGTAGTAAATTAGAAATGAATTCATAGCTGAGACTTCAAACGCAGCCTTGGAGGAAATTTGGTGAGATCACTACAGGGCCTAGTAGAATTATTGTGCTGGGGTTGGGAGTGTTTTTCATTTTTAAAAAACCAAACCCTCAAAAAACCTTGAATGTATTTTCAGTTCACTTTGTTTTCAGGTCTCTGAAATGAAGCAAAAAGTATTTGTCCAGAAGGCTGCTTTACCCAGGTATAGTTGGAATCTTGCACTAAAATTCTCTTGGGGCTGTTATACAGATTTAATTATGAAAGTATATCCAGATGAGATGCTGGAAATGAGAAGTAAAATCAGAGAGACGCTGCCTGAGAAATGGAATGAGTGGGGATTGAAACACTTAAGAGTATTTTAGTTGTGATCCAATTTGAGCAGTGTGGAATCTTCCACTGAGTAGTAAGCCTTTGCTTACTTGAGGAGCTCTTGATCATTGAAATTATGGGAAAGGGTTCTGGGGTGAGAGCCAACGCTGTGTTGTCATGACTGAATTAAATTTTGCTTGTGTTGTGATTTTATGGCCTGCTGGCCAAGAATGTGGCTCCACCCCTTACAACCCACCACTGCTGCCGCTTAATGAATTCTGCTTGTTTGGGTCAACCCTGGGAGGTAATAGTAACAACAACAACAGCAACATAATATCCGATTAAAGTAGGGGTATCCTATTATTATATTGTATTATATTATATTATATTATATTATATTATATTATATTATATTATATTATACCCTACTCATCTGGCTCGGTTTCCTCAGCCACTCTGGGTGGCTTCAAGCCCATATAAAATCATAAGTTTATAAAAAGATTAGATTATGCAGATCAAGTGGCTGGCCCAAGGTCTTCCAGTGAGCTTCATGGCTAACCCAAGGATGTGAATCTGGGAATCCCAGTCTGATGCTCTAACCTAGCGTTTCCCAAACTTGGGTCTCCAGCTGCTTTCGGACTACAGCCTCCATCATCCCTGGCCATTGGTCTTCTTAACTAGGGTTGATGGGAGTTGTAGTCCAAAACCAGCTGGAGATCCAAGTTTGGGAAGCACTGCTCTAACCTGAGGGCCACTTTTCCCCGTGGCCATCACAGGCAGCCCAAAGTGGGTGTTGCAACCTCACACATTCACATGCATACCTCCTCATACATAAAGATCCTGCAGCTCACCTTTTCCACTTACGAGTGTGCTGATCAGCTGAGGTGGGGATGCTTGTTGTGATGATGGGAGAGGACAAACCTCTCCACCCACTCAGCACTGGACTGCCTTCTTGGTTTTCTCTTTATTTTTGCTTGGCACTGCCACAGTCAAAGGTGTCTTGTAGGCATACAGGGGGCAGGGGAAAAAATTGCTTGGGAGCACAGAATCATATCTAAGGCTGTGGCGTTGGCCACCCCTTCCCCCTTTCTGGCTCTCAACCAGGATATTTTAACGCTTGAAGGTAAAGTTGCTGTAATTAGCAGGGAAGTGTGGGCAGGAGCTGAGCTTGGGAGACTTCTAGGACTTCAATATCTAAGCATGTGTAACTCAGGACTCTGTAGAGTCGTCCTAAATCCTTTGGAAGCCTCTTCTGCCATCTCTTTAATATCCTGATTTTTGTGTTGTGCTCAGGAGTTCCAGCAAAGGAGACCTTGAACAGAGCAAGTCTAAGAGAAGACTGGTAACAAGGCCCATTCTTAAGTCTTCATGGGAATAGGGATATCAGAAATGGATGGGACATAGTTGTCAGGCATCCAGAAAGAAATAGTAGTACTTGAAATGTGTGATCAGCCGTGGAATAATTTATCATCATCATCATCTGGCTGGGCCTTCCCATCCACTCTGGGTGGCTCCCAACAATATATTAAAAACAGAATAAAACTTCAAACATTAAAAACGTCCCTATACAGGGCTGCCTTCAGATGTCTTCTAAAAGTCAGATAGTTGTTTATTTCCTTGACATCTGGTGGGAGGGCGTTCCACAGGGCGGGCGCCACCACCGAGAAGGCCCTCTGCCTGGAAAGGTCCCCCCTCCACCCTGTATTGTGAAACACTGTGTCTGAAACTAGAGTCGCTGGCATAACTTTTTTTTTTTAAGCTAGTTCTGTGTTTAATGTTGATTTCGAGATGATTTATGCATTTAAAATGTTTTGATGTGACATCCCCATTCTTTATTGCATGAATGCAATATTTACTTTAAATGTTTGGATGTGACATCCCCATTCTTTATTGCAAAAGATTCGTAATTGAACTAACTTCTATCTTCACCTCTTTTTTTACAAGTCTGCCAGCTACAGGAATAATCTCCCTTCAGAGAGCAACCAAGAAACTCCAAGCAACAGTGAGAGTGAGAAAAGCTGGGTCCTTGACTCTCAGAAAAAGCTGGTGTCAAAATCCGCAGACTATACTCGGAAAAAGAAGAGGGTCAGGAGCAAGTTAAAAGGTGAAAATGGGGTATACAGCACAATTTTGAATTAGCCACCTGATGCAGGCTAAAAGAGAGATGTAGCCAGATTCTGTTTTGGTTTGGTAATGAGCCCTGAAAAGTTCAGCAGGACTTGCACCCAAGTAAATGTGGATGGGGCTATAGCCAGAGCCTGTAAGGACAGATACTTGTGGCTCTTTAGACTTCATATTATTCCCTGTCTGGGTGTGGCTAAAATAACTGTATTATTAAGAAAAGCAGGAAGAATGCAAAGTGTGACTTGAGAGTGTGTATAAATGCGACAGTATGTGGATTGGTAGTTCGCGTTCCAGTTAGTGTTAGGGGGTTGGAGTGGGGAGACTGGTCTATTTCCTCTTTTTTTTGTTATAAAGGACTGTTGCATTTTGGGGTGGGTGGAACAGGGCTATCCAATCAATTTTGGGGTATGGAACAGGGCTGCCCAATCAAGGAAACTTCTGAAGCCATGGTTTGTTAAATAAGCTGCTTCCATTAGGCTTTACAGAGCATGCATCTATATAGAGAGTTGATCATAGAATTGTAGAGTTGGAAGGGACCATGAGGGTCATCTAGTCGAACCCCCTGCAATGCAGGAATCTTTTGCCCAGAGTCTCTTGCTCTATACTGGCTGAGCCATATGACACGCAGAAATAGGAAGATGCCTTAGAGCTAGCCAGGCCATTGAAAATAATAGTAAGAATTATTTTATTTATACCCTGCCTATCTGGCTGGGTTGCTCCAGCCACTCTGGGCAGCTTCCAACACATGTACAAACATAATAAAACATCGAACAGTAACAACCTGATGCAAGATTTTAAAAGTCACAGTAACTTTAAAATAAACAACTTATATCAAACAAAGCAACATTCAACAATCCATCAGAAACTAATAGTAAACAGTAAAATTAAACATCAGCAAATAATAATGAAACAGCTCAATAATCTAGCTCAAGATGTTCTACATTTTAGGGCTTTAAGTCTGGGACCTTATTATGTACTGAGTTGAATAGGATCCAAAATGCAGCAGTTTGATTGGTCCGAGAACAATAGGATTCAGAATGCAGCAGTCTGATTGGTCCTAGAACAATGCAGCAGTATGATTGGTCTGCAGGAGCCACCCAACCCAGCTCCAGATGGAAGTGAATCTACAACCTGATTGGCCTACAGGAGAATTCCGGAATTAGCCAATCACATGCAGCCCATTGTGTAAATAATGTATATAAAGCAGATACTTTGGCGGAACTTTCATTCCTCCTCACCACTATGAGCTGAATAAAGAGCATGAAATCCACTCTCGACTCCGAGTATATTTCAGACCTTCTACATGCAAAGCAGGTGCACTCACCACTGAGCTACGGCCCTCTTTTTTTAGTATCCTGCCTGGCTGGTAGATGCCTGTCTCATTTGCAAACGTCCAAGTTTTTCCTTTCTGAAGAAAGATACTGGGCTAACTAGAGCATCTATAGAGCATGGTGGTGATAGCTAGTGAAAGTTCAGTAGCCGGTGTTATACGTGTGCATGCGAAGAGATGTGTCTGCTGCCGTGGAGTTGCAGTCACATGACGGTGGCGCAATGTGCCTTGTGGATTGATGTGAGGCTGGGTTGCTGCATTTTAAGTTCTCTCTTGCCAAGGCAGCAAAGCATATAACTACCTTGAAGTAAATGTATATTTCAAACTAGCTGAGTGGTTTATATATTTTGTGTGCTGCAAAATGAAGTAACATCCTTTGCTTGTCCATGTGGGGTTTTTGTTGTTGTTGTTTTTTGCTTATCTCTCACAAAGGTCAACCACTTTTAATCTAACACTATCTCTGAAATTACCCAAGAATGCTGAGGTTCTTCAGTTATTGAAATACAGGTTAAGTACTTAATTCGTTCCGGAGGTCCGCTCTTAACCTGAAACTGTTCTTAACCTGAAGCACCACTTTAGCTAATGGGGCTTCCTGCTGCCGCCACGCTGCTGGAGCCCAATTTCTGTTCTCATCCTGAAGCAAAGTTCTTAACCCGAGGTACTATTTCTGGGTTAGCGGAGTCTGTAACCTGAAGCGTATGTAACCTGAGGTACCACTGTATATGAAGCCTTACTCAATCGGCAAGAGCCATTCATAAGTATTATTTCTAGTTTTTTAACTTTAGCAGATTAGAAAAGCTATCTTGTGTTTCCGCTGTTCTTAATGAATACCTTTTGTCTGCCCCTCCCTCACTTAGTATTGCCATTGTCTTCTCCAAGTAGTGGCAGCGATCACCATGGAAAGAAGGTAAGGAAATGCTCAATTCTAATATATATATATATATTTTGAGACCAGGCTCTTGCAGTGTCAGAAAGCCTAACATTTCTGAATCATCTAGATCTGCTTACATAAGAAAATCTTCATGTGCCGTTTCCGATTCTTAGAAATAATATGGCTGAATTTTAATCAAACTTAAAGTGATAGCAAAGAGTCTCAGTCACAAGTCTATAACTCAACCATATATCCCAGTGACAATATGAAACGAGAGATTGCAAAACACTTTCTCACAGTGAGATTTACGGTAACTTGATTTCTTTCTTACTACTGCAGAAGCTGCCTTTATTCTATGGGTCTGCCTCACTCAATATTGTTTAAGCAAATTATCTCTCTGGAGTTTGAAGGGAATCAATCCCAGCCCTATAGATGATGGTGAATCTGGAACCTTTTGCATAAAAAGTATCTGCTCCACAAGTGAGCTCTGTGACCTTCCCAGTAGAGTATGTTTCATGAGCTACGCGGGTAGATAACTTTTGTTTCTTAAGAGCCTGGGTTGCACATTCACTACTCTGCTGCTAGACCTTTCTTCCATAGTAGACTTGATGCCTTTGCCTTCTCTTCCAGGTGGGGAGTTCACCAAGGGGGGAGCAAAGGATGGAGCCAAGCCCAGAGCTGAATGACTTTGCTGCAATGCAGCCACCAATGGTTTCCTCAACCCCTATATCGCATGTTAGACACAGTAGGTGGTTCCTCCTAATATACCACATATCTCTGCGATTCCCAGGCTTTTGTTTTGAGAGGAAAAGATAAGCCAGTGGATCTCTGGAAAGCATAAGCTTCACTCTATATCCTCTCTTAGTAGTTCTTGCCTTGACTGAGAGCTGAGTCCTCAGCAGGCATTGCAGTGTCACCGCAACTTGTGGGGGGTCACGTTCTGGGGGTTTGTGCATTACAGCAAAATTGCATTAAGTCAGGACAGCTTCCAGGACTGCCCCGTGCAACCATCCCTACCTGACTGAAGCCAGTATGCTGAGCAGTCCTTTGCCCTCAGGCCAAAACAATGAGTTTTTAAGCCCTCCATCTTGCTTACTGGGCTCTGGCGAGGTCGCGTATGAGCTCTGCAAGGTCTTGGGAGGCTCCCACAAGATCTCGTGGGGCCGTCTGAGATCCCACGAAATCTCTGTGGAGTTCCCCAGAGCCTGGAAAGCGAGGCAAAGGCAGAAAACCCCAGTGCAGAAAGAGCTTTTTAAGCCCTCCGCCTTGATTTACCGGGCTCTGGAGACTCCTGCAGAATCTTGAATGGCCCCTTCCAACATCCCTCCCCCACATTCCCACCCCCTTTTCATTCATTTATTTTTCAGCCAAGTGCGTAAACATGTGATTGTGTAAGTAAAATCAGCGTAAATTGCGATCGCACTGTACTAAGTTCTGAATGTGGACAGAGATGTAGCTAGGCTCCCTTGTGTCCTTGGCAAGGAGTTATATTGGCACCCACTCTTTCCCTTGGCAACCACCAGCTCTCTTTGCCTTTCTTCTTGCACCCCTCCCCCCCGGGCTTGGGCCCTTGGCAGGGGCCAACCTGGCTAGTCCCTAGGGATGCTGCTGAGTGTGGAGTGGTAATGACTGAAGGGGGTCTGTATTCACTTGAATGCACTTGGAAGTCTCTCAGCAATGGGGAAAGCCCATGCCATGGCAACCCCCAGTCACTAAGAATTGTACCTCCTCCTTCATCTGCATAGCACAATCCTAAAATCTGTTTCTAAGGCCTGTTTCTCAGAACAGATGAGCTGGCAAGCCTATGTCTGGACTGTACCACTTGGGGCTTTACACAGTGGAACAACAACAACAATAATATTTGTATGCCACCCATTTGACTGGACTGCCCCACTCTGGGCAGCTCCCAACAGAATTCTAAAAACATGATAAAACATCAAACATGAAAAACGTCTCTAAACAGGGCTGCCTTCAGATGTCTTCTAAAAGTCAGATAGTTGTTTATTTCCTTGACATCTGAAGGGAGGGAGTTCCACAGGGCGGGCGCCACTACCGAGAAGGCCCTCTGCCTGGTTCCCTGTAACTTTGCTTCTCGCAAGGCCATTTAGGGCTTTAAAGGTCAGCACCAACACTTTGAATTGTGCTTGGAAACGTACTGGGAGCCAATATAGATCCTTTAAGACCGGTGTTATAGGGTCCCAGTGGCCACTTCCAGTCACCAGTCTAGCAGCCACATCCTGGATTAGTTGTAGTTTCTGAGTCACCTTCAAAGGTGGAATACTTTCTCCATACAAAAATAAAATAAAATCCCTGCAGATAGTAAATAGCATGTCAAGGAGAAGAGTTGTAGTCTAACCGTCTTGGCATGCTAGTTTCCTATTATTGTATTGTTTTATTCAGTTGTGGGGGAAACAGCATTCCATCCTACAAGTCCCCCCTTGCTCAATTGAACCCTGACTTTCAATCTCTGGTTTGTGGGTTCGAGCCCCACATTGAGCGAAAAGATTCCTGCATTGCAGAGGGGGTTAGACTAGTTAAGCCTTGTCATACCTTCTAACTCTACGGTTCTGTGATTATTCTCCCCCTCCCCCCAGTAGTGCAAAGTTCTGCGTGGTTAAAGGTTTGTCACCTCATCTGTGGTTTGGGAGGCTGTGGTCACAGCAAAATGTGACTGAATGTGGGGGAACCTTTGGGTAGTGGCTTGTCTGTCCAGATATACAGACTTCTAGGTAGATGGAGCAGCACTTCTCATTGACGCTTTCATGCTATTGTGTTTTGGCGAGATTCTGTGGACATCAAGGACCTGCAGATGCATCTCACAGATTAATTGCTTCTTTTTTAGATGACTTGGAAATGGCGGACGACACTTTGCCGAGTCACTTTTTGCCCAATAGCTCAGAAGCTGGAGCAAGCAAGGTACAGTTCCCGGATGTGTGGGTGATGTATTTGTGGTATTTCACCTGTTTGCACATGAAATATAGATAAAAGTGTGTGTGTGGAAACAGAAACGCTGCACTTGTTATTTGCAAACCGACAAACAGGGAGCCACAGAAACCAGAAAGAATGCAAAAAGAAACTTGATCTCAGAAGCGCTCGCCAGACAGATTTACTGCGGCTCAGCATGTTTCGAAACACAGCTTTCTTCTTTGGGAGCGATCTTAAACTTCATTCAATTCTGTAGGGTAGCTGGAACAACATGAATGGCTTCTGCTGTCTTCCTGGCATCATGGTAGCACTATTTGCCAGATAAGCAATATGCGGACAAGCTGCAGAATTTGAAAAAAGATTTCAGATTGCTCCTGAAGAAGACACCCATGTCCCCAAATGGGTTGTGCTGTGGCAAATGAAAATAAGTTTCTCACTGCTTTGCACTATTTCTTACTTTGTAATTCCCAGTTGTAATACAGTCGTACCTTGGTTTTCGAACAGCTTAGTTCTCAAACGTTTTGGCTCCCGAATGCCGCAAACACAGAAGTGAGTGTTCTGGTTTGCAAACTATTTTTGGAAGCTGAACATCCGACAGAGCTTCTGCGGCTTCCTATTGGCTGCAGGAGCTTTGGAAGTCAAACGTTTGACGTCCAAGGTACGACTGTATGGGGATAGCATATGCCCTTTTTTTTATTACATACTGCAGTTGCCGCATTGTCTTGCTTTTGCTCTTCTTAGAAACATGAAGCTGCTTCTAGTACTCTGCCCATGGAAGATGAAGTCTCCAAATCCAAGCGGAAGTTTTCAGGTAAAGAGGAAGGGTCTCCAACCCCCAACCCCCTCATTTACAGTATCCTGAGCCCAGGGATATGAGCAGCCACCACTATTGCAAGGCAAATAATAATAATAATAATAATAATAATAATAATAATTTATTATTTATACCCCACCCATCTGGCTGGGTTTCCTCAGCCACTCTGGGCAGCTCCCAACAGAACACTAAAAACAGAATAAAACTACAAACATTAAAAACTTCCCTAAACAGGGCTGCCTTCAGATGTCTTCTAAAAGTCGGATAGTTGTTTGTTTCTTTGACATCTGGTGCGAGGACGTTCCACAGGGTGGGCGCCACTACCAAGAAGGCCCTCTGCCTGGTTCCCTGTAACTTCACTTCTCGCAGTGAGGGAACCGCCAGAAGACCTTCAGAGGTGGACCTCAGTGTCCGGGCTGAAGGATGGGGGTGGAGACGCTTCCAGGTGGTGAAAGTTTGGAATCTCATCGTGGTATGGACCTAAGTTTGCTTTAACAGAGAAGTTTCACTGAAGTCCCTTGGGACTTAATTCAAGGAGAATGCATGTTAGCATTCATCTGTCAGCAAGCAAAGCCTTATAAGAACCTCCAGCAACAAAGAAATGGGTTTGGGATTCTGTCTTTGCTAGATTTGTCAGCTGGTACCAGTGGAAAGCGCTCAAAGCTCACCAGGAGGCAGCCCGGGGATGAGTGCTCCCCTACCATTCCTTTTGTACCAAGAAAACTCTTCAACTCCCCGGAGATGGAAGAGGAGACTCGGGAAGGTGACTACTTTGAAACAGAAACCAGCAAGCCTTTGCTGCAGCTGTACTGAATTGAATTCCTTTCACATTTCCTAATTCCCCTACTTCCTGTGTTTTGTTGACAGTGAAGATCTACCTGTGTTTTCCAGAACATTCCACTGCAGAGGTTTCTCCTTTGTTTTTATAGTAACTCTGGCTTCTAGCAGCCATTGATGCTGAGGCTTTTTTAATGTACTCTGTGATTGGCTTTTATTATCAGATGCTCTCTGGAAAGGTGGCCAAGCTAGATTTGATGTGCTGTGTAGTTTTGCTCTGTGTGTGTGTGTGTGTGTGTGTGTGTGTGTGAGAGAGAGAGAGAGAGAGAGAGAGAGAGAGTTAATTAACTAAATTTATATCTTGCCCTTCCTCCTAAAGAAGCCCAGGACAGCAAAACACATTGTAACGCTTCCAGAGTATTCCTTTAAAAAATGCTGCAGTCTAGTAGTGATTTCCCCAAGATACTGAGCATACACAAAGTTCTTATATAGTGTGTGTGTGTGTGTGTGTGTGTGTGTGTGTGTGGTGTGTCTTTCTTGCAGGCCATAATTTAGAAGAGTTAGAGGAAGACGTATTTTTCTCCAAAACACTTGAGGAAGGAGCTGGCGATTCGGAGGTCATTGCTGCGTTTGAAAGCTTCACACACGTATTGAAGAAAACGTTTTGGGTAACTAATAATTTGCAACATCATGCTCATTTTAAGTGCACCACGGGTTGCTTACAGACTGGCATGAATATTTCAACATGTATCTTCACCTGCTCCAAGTATTTTCCCCATTCTAATTTGCTGGCATTGTGACTAGTCTAGGTACAAGAGGATGGCGATTTATACCCAAAACGTTCTGAGGACGTCTGAACGGCATATTTTGGCATTATTGAATCAGATTCATCAGGGCCGGTACGTGGCATCCATCAAATAACTGTGTGGCATCTCTTCTGCAGTAATTGCTGTCAAAAGCCTCAAGTCTTATCATGCATGTGACTTGTTAGTGGTACAAATGCAGGAGGGTTGCAAGAAGAGACTGCTGTACAGTGTTGTTCACTGAAGTGAAGATGTCTATTCTTTTGGTACAGAGGTTTTCCTAGGGCTAATGAAGCAGGCTTGGGAGCATTGTTATCTAAGCTGCTTCCTCCCTTATCTCAATCAATGAAAACTGTTTTCCAGCTTGTGTCTTGCATTTTATTAGGCTTGCTTTACTAGTCCAGCCCAAGAGGTGTCCATCAGGAAGTCACAATGTCAAAGGACCTAGCTGCAAGCCAGCTGCCTGATGTAGTAGATGGTTCTCCTTATACTGTTTTCCATGTTGTGTTTGCATCTTTTCCCCCAGCTCTGTCAATTCTCATTAGTGAGATGAGTGTCAAATGCTGCTTTCCTGAAGCGGTAAAATGACTTATGTTTGTCCGCAACAGGCTGAATGAACTGGAACACTTCCACAAGACAGTTACCCAGGAACTTGCCAATCTCGAGAAAAGAACTCGGTTTCTTTCAAACCTTGAGAAGGATACTTTGGTGTGTGTATTTCTTTTCCATTTTATTTGTTGTCTGTGGATTGATTTAACGACTCACGCTGAGAACGTTTGTTTCAGGAATTTTGGACTAAGCAATCCAGCAAACTCAACAGCAAAATGAACAATTTTTGTATTCGTCAAATGCAGAGGTATTTATCATCTTGCTGTCTGTCCAATGTGCACCGCTTAAAAAATTGTGCACTGTTTTCCTCCGTCTGTTGGGCTTGCTATCTTCTGGGTACTTTAGCGCATGCATCTCTACATCACTGATGGTGTCTCCAAATGGCACAGCTGGAAGAAGCAAGCCCAGTTGACTGGGTGTTCCTTCTACTGTACTTTTCTTTTCACACAGCCACCCTGGAGTGAGTGAGTGGGTGGGTGTATATCTGCTCATGCTTTTCCAGATTATTTTATTTGAACAAAGATGTGCTTCTGCTGCCAGGGACATTGGATTCCCCCTGGCAATTCTCAAAGCCGCAATAAATTGTAAGTGTGGGGAAGCTGAATGCCCATCCTGCAACAAGCCTACAGCACAACCTGTGTGTAAAATGTAAATGTCAATTTCCTTATCAGTCACCACAATTTCAAAAGCCATTTATGAAAAATAATATAATGACATTTAAAAAAAAAAAGAACCAACCCATGCAGAACCAGTAATCCACAGAACATTTTCCGAATCTCGGCTTCTTGGCTCCTGTTTTTATTTTTTAAAAATGTATAAAAGAGGAATAATAATGGTGATGTTAAGGGCCAAGTTGCGTCTTACATGAAATGCATCTTTAGTTTTGCTTGTGCATGTGGTTTGGGGTGTCGTTTTCTTTCTTTTTAAAAGTAATAGCCATGGTACACACACCACCACCCTGTTTGGATTGAGGTTTGTGTAGGGGTTAGTTCTGTAGTTCCGTCCCCATCCCTTTTTCTTTCATGGTTAGGACTTTGTGGCAGGAGGAGAAGGTTAAACCTTCCCTGATCTCCAAAATCCATGTGGCCACTGTTGAGGATCTCATCCTTGCATTCATGGATAAACTGTTGGGAAAGGAGACTCCACCAGAGAAGAAAGTTTAGGGTCAATCAGGCTGAAATGTTTGGGCCACTTTATGTAGTGGGTGCAGCGTTCAACAGCCCGTCACTGTCTTAGATGTCAGGGTTGCCCATCCCAGGCTACAGCTGTCGTCATACAAAGAGCTGCCTTAATACTATTGGCAATCAACGTCACCAGGCAGCATCATGAGCTGTTTCCGCCCCCTTCCTTTCTTTCTTTCTTTCTTTCCTTCCTTCCTTCCTTCCTTCCTTCCTTCCTTCCTTCCTTCCTTCCTCCTCACTTCGGCCTTCACCCTGGGTTTTGACTGCAGCTTGGGGGAGCATGAGCAGTAACTTTAGCTGCACCAAATTCAACTATACCCATTTTGGTTTCTTTCATAGGATACAGTCCATGGATTCAGAGCTGGCGGGAGCAGCAAAGAACCTGGAGGACTCAGCCCCAAATGGAAAGGTAAGGGCTGTTGCTGGGCAGATTGCCACACATTGCATACTGAACAGCAGGTGTGAGTCTTAGGAACTACAAGGAGAAGCAAAGGCTCTTATTGAGCAGGCAAGATGGCAGTTCTTTATCTAACTGTTTAACACCTTCATTTATAGTCAGTACATCTCTGAGCCAAACCATGCCTTGAGACAAATCCACAGGCTCCCTGAGAGAAGGTGGCGGCTGCTTTGGTATAAACTGTGGCTTGCTTTAGCATGCCATCTGAAGCTTGGCTTCAGACTGATCGCAGCCTGTAACCAAGGTTTAGTCCTGGTGTAGTTAATGGGTTGGGTGTAAGTTTGAGAGTACTACTATTTCCTTATCCCTTTCCATAAAGGGTTTGCCGCGGTCATTTTTTGTAGAACGAGGCTTCCCACAGTCATAATGGCTTTTATCTGTTCCTGTGATGTGTTGGTCCCAAATGTATGAAAATACATTTCATACATTGTAATCAGTGGCAGTGGGACTCAGAGTAGACCTATTGAAGTTAACAAGCCATAGGTTCATTTATTTCAGTTGGTCTCCTCTGAGTAGTACTCGGTGAATATAGGTAAGGACTGTGCTGTAAAGCACTAACAGATTTTGCATGCTTTTTTTCTCCCCCCCCCCCCCCCCAGTTTGAGGAAGCAGAAGATCATGAGGAGAGAAGCAAGACTTCTGTCATTGCCTCCGACTGATTAAAATTAATTTAAGCTGACCCGAAGAGCTCTGATCAATGCTGACGTGTCTGAATCATTTCTTAAAATATGCTGGACAAATGCCTTCAGTCCATAACTATAAACAGTTGTCTGTTAACATGTACTCGATGCTTAAATGAGTTTTGCTCTCTCTCTTTCCCACAAGGGGGTAGTGTTGAGGGGTTTCTGGTGCCAACAATTTGTGAAATGCATAGCGTAGCTGATATTTCAGTTGATATCATTCCTTCCCATCCTTATCTGTCATTTATATTTTATATGCAGCCAATTGTGTTAGAAATCTTGTAAACACAAATTAAAGATAACCTTCTCCTAACAAGAAGCAATTGTTTGAGTGTCCCCGCCCCCCAATTTCTTATTGGATGAAAACTCTTTTTATTATTTTATTATGATTTACCTCTTGCTTGACTTGTCTAAGGGACTAAAAGATTTAAAAATGTATTTGAAGAGTGTGGTCTGTTGGACACAAGTGATTCCATCTAGCAGTGTTTGGTGTGGCCCAAATTGCAGCTCAGTTTTGCCTGCCTCAAGTGCCCATGAAAGGGATTTGTGTAGCACAGAAGATAGGGCAGCACAGTTCTTAATAGCAGTAACTGCCAGGTTTTAATAATACTGGCAACATGGGTAGAAAACAACTAAGGGGGGGTGTTATGACTTCACATTTAATCAGCACCTCAGAAGGAAATGGGTATGAGTTGTCTTGCACTTCTACCTGACAGAGTGCAGTTTCCAAATTACTTATTTTATTTTATTTATTAGATTTATATACAGCCCTTCATTGCAAGATCTCAGGACGGTTCACAAGATAAAAATACAAGGTTAAAGCGCAAATAGTTAAAGCAGAAATAATCAAAATAATAACCCCCTCTCCCACAAACACATTTAAAAGGCTGTAGAATATTAATCAACAAAAGGCCTGGTTGAAGAGGAATGTTTTCGCCTGGCACCTAAAGATATTTAATGAAGGTACCAGACGAACCTCCTCCACTAACAGGGAGCCACTACAGAAAAGGCCCATTCTCGTATTGCCACACTCCAGACCTCTTGGGGAGGGGACACATGAAGAGGGGCCTCAGATGATGAGCACAAGAGTTTGGGTCAGTTTATATGGGTAGAGGCAGGATATAATGGGAATATAATAGGGCATGTAATGGGTGATAGAATGTGGCTCCTCCCCACCCCACCCCCAATTTTGTGCTGCAAAAAACAATTAACACCCTTACCCCACCCCCGTTATGCCAAATCTTGGGTATTTTCATATTCCAAGCTATTGCACTGTCACATAGCAAGAACAGAAGACCGCAAAACGCATTGACTGTAAAACGTGTTTTATTTTCAACGGCAAACACTGATACAGGAAAATAATTTCAGAAGTTGTTATCCTGATGGTTGTTCAGAATAGCAGCATGTTACTAGTTTTTGCGTATTCAGACATGTACCTGATTACGATTTTATCAAGTGGTTTTAAATCTACAGTGTATTTTTCAGCCCTTTGAAAGATTGAGTAAGGCAATGTTCCTCCCCTTCCCTTACCCCCCCCCCCAGCACATCCTTAAAAAATGGAACAAAAACCCTTTAAACCCAGGGGTGAGGTGTGCAGTTGCTAACACTACCAACAGCCTCCAGTGCCTGCCATCCTGGCCAAGTTGGATGGGAGTTGGGGCTTCAGCAACACCAGCAATGGTTAGCCACCCCTGCTGAATGTTCGCTGCACAGTAAACTCTCATACCTGAACTAAGAAATACCAGGAGATCTGAGAGCTCCTCGGAATGGCTTGTCATTTTTGGATGAATTTCACATCCCAATGCAAAGGTTTTCGGGCTCTGTTTGGATTAAAAGTGTGTCTGTTTCAGGTTAAAATTCAAACACCTGTTTGTTCCAAGAGTTGTTTTCAGCAGTCATCAAGTGTTGGAAGTCAAGTGGAACCATGTCTCCCGGAGATGAAGGAATCAAGCACCCATCACGGCTTCAGCAGGTTACATATCTGTAGGTCGCTCCTCACACAGATGGGGATTGCTTCAGGCATTATGGAATGCTGGTGAGAATTTCTATGCCAGAACTCTAAATTCAAGTGGATTTTATTTGAGTAAAATAGAGGCAAGGAATTAGTCACTTCAAGGATCTTTCTGGCAACACTCAAGTGGTCATTTGGTTTCATGTAGTGCTGTGTGTACTACCCTCTAGAGGGGAAAATTGTCATTGCTTCCTGGCTTCCACTTGAATTCCTAAAGGTTGATGGTTTCTAAGAATCAAATGCTTAGGGTGCTTTGATGAATCTTATTTTCTTACACCCAATGTGATACTGTTTTTACCCATCAGTGGCAACAGTTCACCTTCATAAAGGCATGGTGCATATATTTGCTGTGCCCCCCCCCCCCAGTCTTCTAGCAAAGCTTTTTTTTCTCCCCAGAGTAAGTCCTACTGATTTAAGTGAGAATCAATTGCAAGTAAACATGCTCAGGGTCATAGTCCTTGTGCTAATGCTGAGCTTTTAGGATTCTATTGTGTCCTGCACCTGGACTCCAGACACAACTATTTTTTCCTTTTCCCAACACTTCTGCCTCCAGGTTTTAATGTGTGCTGATTACATTTGGAGCCATCAGTCGTACAAAGTTAGGGTGCCAAATTGTCTAAGGTGGCCAGTCTTGCTTGCACCAACTGGGAGAGGGGTGGCCAACATGGGAATGAAATAATGGATGTGTGGAATGGTAAGTGTTTTTCTTACGCCAACTGCAGGCAGCAAGGCTGAGCTGTCTTAGCTGCAGTGCTGCTTCCTCCTGCTGATGTTTTGTCATAGTACAGAATCAAGCAGCTGCTTGGTAGGCTGAATTTCTTAGGTTCATACTGGGAATAAAAGCTGCATTAAACCAAGCTCTGTCACTACCAATGTCCATCAGCAGCAAATGTTAAGTGTCCCACAATATAAAACTGTTTGAAAGGGGACTGTATGCTTTGATGACACTTATGTGTGGCAGAATCTAGCTTCTTACCACTGTAACGGTAGGCCATAGCATCCGAGTGGCGAACAGGCTTAATCCGCTGGTAACAGACCACACCTAAAGCAGGTATGGTGGCTGCTAGAATAGAGTAGAGAGAGAAGCACTTAAATGTCGGAGAAGGTAGCTCAAGCATGTGGGCTTTCTGGACCCACAGCAAGAAATTAAGAAGGTGCAAAGCTCATGAAGTAGGGGTTCAGCTTTCAGAACAGGGGCTGCTGGTGGTGCAAGTGATCCGACTTGTCATATTTAAATGCTAAAACTCTGAGGCTGCAATCCCTCAGGCAGGACACTAAGTCCCATTGAAATGGGTAGGATTTATTTCTCAGCAAACCTGTATAGGGTTGCCTTAAAAGTCTTATCAGTTGTGCACTTTTGTGCTGCAGTAATGATTAGGCCTGCCTGTAAACAAGCCCCTCTTCCTGGTTTCCACCTTATTGCTTCATAGGAAGCATATTATGGTGCATCTAGTGAACTTGTATTCTGCAGTCACACAGTTTTAAAACCGGGGGGGTTGGATATAAACCATACCTTTCTTGGTTAGCCAAGGAAGCATTATGAAGGGGGAAAAGACAATAGCAAGGTTGCAGTCGGCTCTGTCAGGTGACCAATCACTGCTTATCATAACGGGTTATGCCCCAACACATTTTCTGCAAGGTGATCTGCAGCTGGTATACCTGTTGCAGCACATTTTTAAAGGGTGGCAGCAGGTACACCAGCATTTGGATGGTTTCAGGGTGGACAATGCAGTTCAGGTGTTCTTAGTTGGCACGTGAAGTTGGAGGAAATTCTGGAGCACCTTACACTGCCTCTTGCTAGAACTTGGAATAGGAGTAATCCTCCTACCTCTCTTTATCCCCATGAAGATAATAACAAAGTTTTTTAGTATACAAGTCACTTTTTTTCCTGGAATCCAAGGGGGAAACAAATTTAGTGTCACCATGCAACCATACTAAAACACACACTTCTTCCTAAGACAGAGATTATATACTCTGTATGTCTGCACAACTAATACCTGTGAACCTGCCGCTGGTTTCAATAGGTAGGATTTTCTTCAAAGCACCACCACCCCAAACCATCATCCCAAGGAACAACTCTTGTCAGGCATTCTGCCCATGATTAAAATTTACAAAATGTGGCTTTTTTTGGCTGGGTGAAAGAGACAGCATGTCCTCACCATTTCGATGGAGGTATTTATCAAAACACTTGAAACTACGTTGTTAAAAACAAGTCATCAATCGTGAGTTAAACAAGGGAGTAAAAATTGCTAAACGTTAAGGAAACAGAGTCAAATCTCATACTAAAGCTGTGCACAACTGCCTGGTCAACTCGTGTTTTGGGGGGGCTTTAGCAAAAAAAAAGAGGAAGGATTTTGTACACTACAGTATAATAAAATATATTTCTTATTGTGCTTTTTTGTTCAGAGCACCATTAGCTGCCATTATGTAGTCTTTATGGAACCCGTTCTTGACTTCTGTTACTAGAGAGGCCTCTTTTGTATTGGTTCTTGAAGGTCTTTTCCGATATGTCTGGAAGGAAAAACAGAAGTCATCAAAATTAGGGCCAGCCTCTTCTAAGTAGATTTGAATGTTTTTAGCCATAGCCAAAGTTCTTTTTCCTGCAGTTAAAAAGCATACAACAGCATGACTTCTGTTTTAACAGTTTCCACTATTGATAGTGCCTCCTTATCCAGTATTTTTTCCAAAGGCTTTTGTCTAATGTACTATCATCTCTCCTCACAAAATAAACATACTTGGGGCTGTATCCAATTAAGGTTCACATCAAGTAGACCTGTTGAAATCAATGGACCTGAGCCATTAATGAGTCTACCCTGAACAGGACTAACAACTGACGCAACCCCAATTGAATAGTAGCCTTCATCAAGCTGGTGTTATGGCAACTGCTATAACATACTGGTGCTGGCTGTAGAATATCATACTCAACAGAATGGAGTAGATTTGTTTTTTCTCTGTTTGCACTTAAAATGTCACACCTAGGGAGAAAATGCATTCATTATCCACAGAGAAATCTCTTCCGGAAGCCCAGAAAACGGATTGACAGTTGAGAAGAACAGAAATGTGCTCCTGGACTTACACAGAGAAACTCATGGCAGATGCATTTGTTTGAAATACATGGTACCAAGCTGGAGAAATTCAACTCTCTTTTAACAAAACCTCTTCCTTATAAGTTACCTAAACAAACTCAAAAGACATCCTTTATAGAGGGCTAAAAAGCAATGGATCAGCAAAACCACTAGAGGTCAGCAAGGCAGCAGCAGTTGCCCGACTGCCCGCCACTGACCTTATCATCAGCCTTGCTGTGGCTTACGGGGAGGAAGAGGTGGAGGGGTGGTGGTGCAGTGCAAACCCATCAAAGGCCACCTTGCATTGGCTCAGCCAGTGTGTTTGCAGCAGCCTCACCACCCACAGCAAGCTACAGAGATGCTGCTGACCACCCAGCCAACTGTTACGGAGAAGAACACCTACAAACAATCTTAGATGTAGATCTATTTCATCTAGAAGTGATTTTATCTACACCTGACTGCAGGAAGAACTGCTGAGCTGCACTATGCAATAAATTTAGAGCTGTTTTGTAGTGTTTCCCCACCTCAGGCTGTTGCTCCAGTTTCTTTTCCCATTTAAGCATTGCTGGGCAAGATTTCACAGGAAAGTCCTTTCATTTGATCCTTTCCCACACTGAGATCCAGTGCCGAGGGCCTTTTGGCAGTTCCCTCATTGCGAGAAGTGAGGTTACAGGGAACCAGACAGAGGGCCTTCTCGGTAGTGGCGCCCACCCTGTGGAACGCCCTCCCTTCAGATGTGAAGGAAATAAGTAGCTATCTTATCTTGAAAAGAAATCTGAAGGCAGCCCTGTTCAGGGAAGTTTTTAACATTTAATGCTGTATTGTTTTTAACACTTGATTGGGAGCCGCCCAGAGTGGCTGGGGAAACTCAGCCAGATGGGTGGGGTATAAATAATAATATATTATATATAATATTTTTATTATTAATTATTATTATTATTATTATTATTATTATTATTACAAAGGTTGAATAGAGTATGTCACAGTAGTTTCATTCTGTCATTGGTGTGCTATTTCTCTGTGACACAACAGCATAAAATTCCAACCTTGTATGTATAGGATAAAAGGGGTTAGCTATGCTGCTGTTCTTCTTTTTAAAAAATAAATAAATAGGCACATAGATACTTAATTGGGAGACCTCTGTATAATGTTCGTGAAATTACTGTAGGCAGGGGAGGGATGTGCTTTGCCACCTTTTTTTGAAAATGCAGGGTAAGCACTCAAGCGCTAGATTTGCTGAAATGTGAACAGCGCTGCTCTTACAAGCAGCACTGAATGTGCTACCATCGCAAAGAATTTAGATAATAAAATAAGTAAACAATATAGTGTAACTTTGAGTACAAGAAGAATGCTGTAACTCTTAGCAGAAGAACAGCCTTGAAAAAGAAAAAAGTGGAGCATGTGAAACAAGTTAATAGCAAAGCAAGTTTATTGCACAGAAAAGTGATGTGGAAAAGGTGCTTGTGCTCTCTCGCTTAAGAATCTGTCGCTGGAACCAATGTTGCCCTTGATTCTGGCCCATTCTGCACCTGGAGAAGGGATAAGAGCCACTGTAGTGTAGTGGCTAGAGCAGGCATCCCCAAACTCGGCCCTCCAGATGTTTTGGGACTATGACTCCCATCATCCCTAGCTAACAGGACCAGTGGTCAGGAATGATGGGAACTGTAGTCCCAAAACATCTGGAGGGCCGAGTTTGGGGATGCCTAGGCTAGAGTGCTGGACCAGGATGTGGGAGACCAGGGTTCAAATCCCCTCTGAGCCCATGATGCTCACTTGGTGTCCTTCGAGCCGGGGGGCAGGGGAAGAGTCACTGTTCCCTAGCACAACCTGGGAGCGGGGAAATTGGAAGGAGAACCCATGTTACCTTCAGCTCTTGGAGGGAAGGTGGGATGTAAATCTAATAATAAAGGTAATACTGGATTAAATATTTCAGCCCTGCTTCACCAAGAAAGGTCTGCCCACAGAAACAGCTTCTACATATGCAGCAGATGAACCTGCACCGCGAAGCTCAGTTGGGCCTCAGTTGGGTGAAGCGGCCAGATTATTTTCTTTTGATGTGGATGACAAATGCACATTCCTAACTTGGCCTGCCCATCATTTCCCATTAGGACTCCACTGTAGCCATTGAAGCATAATTTTTGCCTGTATTTGCTGCCTACTTGCTGAAGCTTTGTAGTATAGAGTTTGCTGGATTCTGCTGAATTGGTGGACACACTAGTGGACATCTATCTTTTCATTATAAGTGAAGGTTCGGTTTGATTTTGCTGTCACGTTTCCTTTCCCCCACGTTTCACGGGAACTGAATACCGGCAAGGAGCCTTGCAACAAAGGCTCTTAACATTGCAGAATTGGACACGCCAATAAGAAACATTATATCACACTGCAGTGGATGTTGCATAATTGCTGACGGCATGACTGTGCTTCCTTCACCTCAGTGCCCCCTCTTCAAGTTCAACTCAATGAGCAATTTGAGGAAGATACTTAAAGTTTGTTTTAAAAACCAGCATGGGGCGGAAACCAAGCTTGACACCGTTAAAGCTAGGAATGCCAAGTTTCAAGACACTTTCATTAAGCATATGCAGCTCTCCTTTTTCTTTTCAACTTACCTGAACATAGAAGTTAACAAACAGAATGACCAGTGTGGCCATGTATGAAGACTGGAAGATGAGGCAACCAAATGGAAATCCACATGGCTTCACAACTGCACTGAGCGTGTGTGTAATCGTGAGCAAAAACTGGATCTGTTGAAGAAAGAAACATCAATGCCCATCATTTTCAGGATTAGGCCTTCCCCAGGTGAAATTCATACCCCTTTCTCATGGATGATGGTTGTGTTGTCAATCTACAAGTTCTGCTCTACCGCCGTTCACCTACATTTAATATCCAGGTTGTTAATGAATGTTTAAAAAATGGCAGTTTCCCTTTGGAATGGCTGTTTCGCTGGAGAGAAAAGCCAGGGTAACTCCACATCAATTCTGTTCAGAAAGTTACAGGTCGCACCTTGACACCATAGCGGCAGTGTTTACTACTCATACCTGTTGACGCTTGTGGCAACACCAAAAAAAAAAGGCCATTAATGTTTTAGGGGTTCTTACATATTCTGTTCACCTGGCCTTAATATCTTGAATAGTTTGCCACAAGGATCCTGCTTAGTGCAGGAGAGCTGTGATGTCTGATGGCACCAGCCTGGAAACTCTCTGGGTGATGAAGTGTCACTTAATGCATGAGTTTTCTACAAGTCAAGACAGGAGCATGGAGCAGCCGTGCTCCAAATTGCATAACACTATCCCTCAAGAGCACATCAAAGAACATGCCCATATATCGTCTCAGCACAGAGCAGCTCTGGCTATTACAATGTTGCATAGTGGGCAGGATGAACAAGTGCAATGGCCAGTTATATATGGAATGTGACTTGCATCTGTGCCACACAGGTTGTCCTTCGAATTTGAACCTAGGCAAGGCTCACACTAAAACATGGGGCAGTGTCAGTGAGTAGAGGGATCAACTACAATTACACTGGGGCCACTTCTGTTCCTGCCAGCACTTGGTATTGCTCCTGTATAGCATATTCCCCCACCCCACCCACAAAAAACCCCAGTTCTTATAAGATCCTTGTGGCTTTTCAAATTGATTTACTTCCATCACACTTCTCCCAAATACTGGCCTTGAGCAACTCATTGCCTGGCTGTGTGTTCCTTGCTCCCTTCTTCCAAGACATAAGGTCTCTTCATGGTTCTCTTGGTGGAGCAGCTACACTGAGATGGCCCCAAGCCTGATTCTATGTAGAATTAGGCATACACATCTTAGAAGATTTGTGCTGCAGACAAACCCACTACATCACACTGATTCCCACATGCAGCGTGAATGTGTAATGCATGATGCAGATGTTCATATACATGTTTGGAAGCTGGGATGGGGCTGTGGCTCCTTGCCATTGTGCTAGTGTCCCTGGACAGTGGAAAAAGAAGGAACATAATCTGCCTTGAAGAACTAAAAGCTTCCCCACCCTCAACTTCGTATTCCATTGCAAACTGGCTCATTGCTAGCTTGACCTTGCTACAGGATTTATATATTTATTTTCAGAACTATGGTCAGTACAAGCAACAAAATGTTGTAAGCTTACCAGTTGTGCCTGAGTGAGGTATTTCTTCCACCATAGATACTTGCGCATGGATGGAATGACGGACAGTCCATAGTAGGAGTACATGAGGACGTGGATAAAACTGTTCAAGGTGGGTCCAAAGAAACCTGTGGTTGAATTGAACACATTGTTAAGACTTTGCTTCTGAGAATCAATACTATGGTTCACTGGCAATGTAAAGAACTGGCAGGGTTTCCTTTGGCGGCTGAGCTCAGAGCCTCTATTACCATGCCATGGGAGTGTTACATAATGACGGTTCCGTGAGTTTATGCTGTTTTCCTTCTTGTAGCCTATATGGGTTTCTTTCTAACCTTGTTCAAGTGGTTTTGGTTCTGGTGGTGAGTTGGCTCACAACTGCTGCTGGGGTGGCTGAAGCTGCTTGAAGGGACAGATAGTCCAGGCAGCTGGTTTGGGGCGCTGGACTGGAGAGGCGACAGTGAAGCCGTATCTCTATGGCGTCAGGTGTGGGATGAGCCTAACCCTACACCTGAGGCCATAGAGATGTGGCTGCACCGAAAGGGGATTTGCAAGCACCACTGAGCGAGTGGTGCCTGCAAAGTTCTGTGCATAGTTCTCTACAAGCACTGGCGATTAGTCGGGCTTCGCAGGCTGTGTATTTGCTAGCATGGTTCAATTCCAAACTGCAGGCAAAAGCATGCAATCTGATGTCATTCGGATGTCAAATGATTGACAGATAGACTGCCCCACCTGTCAAACTTGATCTGTGGGGATGGGGAAGATAGCACCTTGCTCTAGCCTTTGAAAAGTTTCTCACCCCAGTATAATTATATGCAAGGAGAATAAAAGGGGGGGTGGAAACCAGGGGGGCAGGGGGAAGTTAATTAATAAAAATTTGGATTAGATATGTATATATAAAAAGAAAAAATGTTATTTTCAAAAATGAAAAATATTTTTCTTTTAAAAAAAGAAAAGTTTCTCACCCTTGCTCTATCCTTTGAAAACTGCAACCGGTTCCTGTGTTAATAGGTAAAGGTAAAGGGACCCCTGACCATTAGGTCCAGTCGTGACCAACTCTGGGGCTGCGGCACTCATCTCGCTTTATTGGCCGAGGGAGCCAGAATACAGCTTCCGGGTCATGTGGCCAGCATGACTAAGCCGCTTCTGGCAAACCAAAGCAGTGCACGGAAATGCCGTTGACCTTCCCGCCAGAGTGCTACCTATTTATCTACTTGCACTTTGACGTGCTTTTGAACTGCTAGGTTGGCAGGAGCAGGGACCGAGCAATGGGAGCTCACCCCCTCACGGGGATTCGAACCGCCGACCTTCTGATCGGCAAGTCCTAGGCTCTATGGTTTAACCCACAGCGCCACCCGTGGCTAATTAGCTCAGAGTCATTTCCTTTACTTCACCTCACTACAAGGGGAAAATATATCTATGAGTCCCCTCCAACCTTTGCTCTGCCAGAGGACTACAGAAAATTATTGCATCCTCAGTATTTCTCTTTGCACAAAAGAGACTCAAAAAGGAAGAAGCAGGGGCTTCTGCCCAATGCTCACAACCCAAGATTGGGATGGTATGCATGTAAGATTTGAACTAGTGATCTCAAGGAATGTGCTGCAGTATTCTAGCTGTTCTGCACACTTTAATCCATCACATCATCTGCAGGATACAGGAGGTGTCTGAGGTAGATTCTACAATATACTAAATGCAGCAGAACATTTCAAAAAAACAAAATGGCAACTGAGTTGCTGCTGTGTGTTTACTTCAGACAGAGAGTGTGCCTAACAGCTTACTCAACATTTTGTTTGTTTACTAAATGAGATTCACCTCCACTTTCCCCCAAATGGCAGGACTGCATAGATCTGCTGTTAGATCTATCATATATAAAGGTACTCTAGGTATGTTGCTTGGTTACATTTTAAGTCCGCGTCTCCGAATACTAACTTTGTCCGCAAGGTATCCAGTTCATGACACACCACCAGATGTTAAACATAGTGGCGTGATGATAAACGTGAAGGAAAGTAATCTGACTGTTTTTCTTCCGCAGAACAAAGAACATCGTGTCAGCAAATTCAATGACTTTGGAGAAGTAATACCACCACAACACCTTGGCCACCTGCAGGAACAAGACAGATGAATTAATATCTCTCTTCTTGGAGGAACATGTTCTGCTATCCTTGAATAATCCTTTAGTCAGGCAAAACTCAGATTTAAGATATTTTCCTATGGCTTAAAACAGGGGCGATGAACCTGCCCTTCTCAAACTGTTGTTGGGCTTCCACTTCCACCATCCCTGGCCATTGGCTGAGAGGAGTTGTAGTCCATCGACATCTGGACTGCCTCAGATTTCCCATATGTGGCTTACAGTAATCCAAAATTGGGTGCTGCCTGGTCCTATGCAGATGCAAGCCCCCTCTCCCCCCGTATTCCATGGGGCTTACTCTTTACAGGCACAGGTCTGCACTTAAAAGCTCTGTGTCCTAGCTTTGCTTTTTGCCTTGGCGTTTTCTCCATGAAAATTCACATTTTAGTGCTCAATCACAGCAAACATCAATTCAGGTTTTCTGCGGGTTGCTGTTCGCTCCAATTGAGCTTCAAAGAGCGGGTTTTAAAGAGCAAACAAAAGGGTTCCCAAACACAGAGCTTTTAAGCATGGACCATGTCTGGAAAGAGCAGTGTGCACAAGCCCAGAGAGTGCAACAGATTCAGACTTCGTTCCTAGAGGTAGTCTTAAACACAAGCCATTGGAAGTAATCCTCGTAGATTCCAGTGGGATTTAATTCTGAGCAACTACAATTCCTGTCTTAGAAAAGGAACCTACTTAGTATGCAATACTGAGTCCCTGAGCAGCTGTTGTTTATTAATGCCCTCTCTTCTTTGCATTTTCTCAGCAAGGCTTCCAAATTACTCCTCAGAATCACGATCTAGCAGCAGAACTATGCAATTCATGGTGGGCTTTGCAACAGGGTATCAGGCTCTAATAATGGATAATGAATTGAGCAGAACAAGTAAATTGTGTGAGGCATTTACATATGGCCCTGCATGCCATTGACTGTGGAGAAATTCTTACACACGGTGGGAGTAAATACAATGTTCTCAGCTTACAAAGAACATGCTTGCTATAATCAGAGGCTCCCTTATGTTTGGGCAAATTGTTTGTGCAGTATTTATTTACTTACTCTCTCCCCGTTCTGCCAGACTAAGTTTCTGTGGTACAAGAGTACCGTGTACCATATTTTGACAGGTGGCATATCTCCTTGAATCCCAGCTTGGGAGAAAGGAGAGCTATAAGTACATTAAATCTCTACTATGGCATTTAATTGATTTTATATTCCCCTTTCCTCTGAGGAGCTCAAGGTTCTCCCCTTCCCCATTTTATCCTCTCAACAGTCTCATGAAGGAGCTAAGGCCATAGGTGCCAACTCTATGGGGCTGAGGATACCTGAGCCCCCCTGAAATATGTGGGGACAGGGCTGAGCCCCCCCCCCAATATTGAGGGTCTTGGCTGCTGCAGGCCTTGTCAGGCCTCCCTGCAGTGGCAGAGGGCCCCGCTAGGCCTCCATGTAGTGATGTTGGGCCTCTCTATGGTGATGGAGGCCCTGTCAGCCTCGAGGCCTCCTCCTGACACTTGTGATGTCACACGTGTGTGCTGCACTTGTGACATCATGCGCACATGACAAAGCTCCCCAACGTCAAGCATAACTTGGCACATATGATTAAGACTAAGAGTCATTGACTAGCCCAAGGTTACCCATGGCTGAGTGGGAATTTGAACTTCTGTCTTCCAAGTTCTAGTCCAACACTGTCCACTCTTAAGATTTCATTGGAGATAATAGGGACCGTCCTTTGCATTCACTCATTTGAATGCTGGGGGGGGGGGACCAGGGACAACAACCCTGCATGTATTTGCACAATAAGCATCCATCTAGAAGCACCATCACTTCTTCTAGGTACCAAATTCCAGAGTTTAGCTGTGCCCTGAGTGCATAATTCAGTTAAGCCAACTGCCTGGGGACCAAGTACTGATATGTTAAAAGCACAGGCAGGCAAGCAAACATCAGAGAGGGTTGTTCGTTTGTTTTTTGTTTTAAGGAGAGCCCTTGCTATGCCAAACACTGCCTTTCATCTGGGTCACCTTAACTTCAACTGAGCTAGTTGCTCAACTTTTGGAGGGGAAACAGCACAGGTCACAGACACTTCCCCGAAACGCAGTGGGCAGAAGATCAGCAGAGATGGCTCCTCAGTGCTTGCGCCACCCAGACCAGCAGTCTGAGCCTACAGCCGCAGCTCCACCACAATACAGTCATAGCATTGCCACCAGTAACACCAGGGGAAGGTACAGAGATACCACCAGCCTCATCACCACCAGCTGCACTCCTGCCCTCTGCCCTCAATGAAGCTGAATTGGGGGAGGATGGGAAGCAGCAGGGAGGGTGATCATTTGCCGCCAGAAACAAGCACTTCACCTAACAGTAGGGCCAGCCCTGACGCCACTTGTTGCTAGAAAATCCATAGGAAGCTACCTTTACTGAACCAGACTAGTGGGTTCCTCTAGCTCAGGGTTTCCCACATTTGGGTCTCCCGTTGTTTCTGGACTACAATTCCCATCATCCCTGACCACTAGTTTTTGCTAGCTAGGGACGATGGGAGCTGTAGTCCAAAAACAACTGGTGATCCAAGTTTGGGGAGCCCTGCTTTAGCTCAATGTTAGTTACACTAACTGGCGGTGGCTCTCGGGGGTCTCAGGCTGAAGTCTCCAGGCATTGCCTGAAGATGCTGGGGACTGGAGCAGGGTTCTTCTGCATGCCTAGCAGATGTGCTACCCACTGACCTATGGCTCTGTTCCTGTCTATGCAACAGTCTATGCCTAGCTCCCCCTGCCTCATTTCCCCTCCAACTAATCTTCATAAAAATGCTGCCTACCCCAACAACTGTACCCCCTTTCTTCTTATAAAGTAATTCCCTACCCCTCTCCTACAACTTGGTTTGTGTCAAGACGCACACAGGCTCAACCCAGGAGCGTTGTCTTCAATGCCAATTCTTGAGTCTGGAAATAGGCAGGATTGGAGGTGAAAAACCTTGGAGGTTTTTAAGCAGAGGTTGGACAACCATCTCTCACGTGTGATCTAGCTGAGATTCCTGCATTGCTAAGGGCGGGGGCTGGACTAGATGACTCTTGGGGGTCCCTTCCAACTCTACAATTCTATGATTCTATGCATGTGAATAGTGCCTTTGAATCTGGAGGAGCAGAAACAGCAAGCCAAGAGTAAAAGCATCTAATGTGAATTCAGCACCAAGGCTTTTGGGAGGAAAGTTCAGAGGGAAGTGAAATCGGCAATTGCAGTTAGAAGAATACCTTTCGTGCCAGTTCTTTTTCTTGTCTCACTTAGAACTCTAAGATTAAAGATATAAAGAGTATACAGAGAGAGATATACACAGACCCACATACACATACAAGTTTGATAGGCAGTTTCTTTTTGGCTACTCTCCGATTCCAGCTTTCGCTACCAGGCATGTAAATAGTGCAAAAAGGGAAAGAGAAAAAAAACATAGCTTCTTTTCTAGAATTGGGTCCTGGCTGAATCCAGACAGCTGCTGAAGAAGGCGCAGCATGAGAAGAGATACATGGAGAGGTAGGAAGCATTTTCTTAATTTTGAAGGGGGGTGGAATAGCCTCTCTTAGCTGCAGAAGGTTGTAAGCTTTTTCCTTTTGAAAAACTATTTTTAGGAAATGCTTGCTTGAATTTTCCCATTAAAAAGCACCAGCGTAAGCTGTACACCAAAGAGATCGTCATGTGAAAAAACAGCCTCAAACAAACAAACAAACCCACCCCAAAGGACAAAATTTAAAAGGCAGAGTTAAAGATTAGCCATAGAATGATAAATGCATTTAAAAAAAATTTCTACCAAGGTATAGAAATGTGGCAATGGTGCAGTCCTCTATATACCTATCCAGAAGGAAGCCCAATTGAGTTCAGTGGGACTTGCCCCTAAGCTAAGTGTGTATACATGAATACAGCCTAAGAAAGAACTGGGAGACATTAAGGTGAGGCTAGCCTAGTCTTTGCCAGCCTGGTGCCTTCAAGATATTTTGGAATATGACTCCTGCCAGCCTCACAGTCACCTTTCAGTTCTTGGGTTGCTTTTTGTTTCTTACCCGGATGTCGGCTTCTCCTGCACTGGTCAGGTTTTGACATTGTAAGTTATAACCTCCTTCCCAAGTGGCAAGAATTAGCTGGAGAAGAAGAAAACAGATTCTGTTACTCCGAATAGAATTTCCCATTGTTAATAATTATTAATCACTGCAAGCATGTGGGGTTTTGAAGGGTAAATAGCTTTCAGCTTTACGCATGGTAACAAATTTAAACCCCTGTTCTCATAAATAAAGATGTGCAAAATTATAAGTATGGGAGGGGAATTTAAAATCAGGAAACAACAACAACAAAAATCACCAGGAACAAAATGGCAGGTATCTTCAAAAATTTCAAACGTAGTCTCACTACTAACACCCTAAATAAATATCTACTTTGTGTCTGATCCAGACTAAGTCAGTCTTAGATCCCAAGGAAATCAATGAGATGACTTCTTCATTACTGAAGTCCCATTGGTTAATTAAAGGTAACTAAGTCTGAATTTTCAGTTTCGGGGGGGGGGGTAATCACCACTATGAGCTCTGCTCAGATCTAATCCAACCTTCGACCTACAAGCAATGTTTCAAACTATTCGTATTAAGCATTTTACCCATCACTCAAAATAATGGTGCTGATCTAGAGATTCCTGCATGTAACAGTAGACTGAATGTGTCTACCTGCATTCAGGAATCATCCCAGTCTCCAGGGGCAGCCTTTGGTACTATGGTGCCCTGAGCTAGGCCAAAATTTGGTGCCCCCCTCCAGGCCTTCTGCTGTTTGGACTTTGGGAAGGAGGTGTGAGGGCTCGGGCAGGGTCCTAGAGCCCTCCCTGTTCCTTCCCAAAGCTAGAAAAAAGCTAAGTAGGTTTTGGGGAGGAGGAAGAACTATAGGACCCTGTCACAGCTTTCATGTCAGGGCCCAATGTGGGGAAAACTGCCTCTGCACTCTTGATTCCCCCCTTACATGAAGAACTACTTTGCATGTGTGAACCTGATCCCTAAGGAAGTATGTTTCCATGTGCAGTATGCAGGATTAGAAAAAGCAATATTGCTTTGTAAGTTCAGCTTTGTAAGCTCAGAAGAAAATGGGCATTCCTCTAAAAGACAAGCAATAATTATTAAAGGAGCTGAAGAAGGTATGAAAGACAGGCATGAACCCCTTCCCCCTTGGGGAATCGTAGTAGTTCTTTACAAACATGTTGCAGGGTTCTATTTTTTTTTTAAAGGCAGCTTGCATAACCATTGACTCTCCCTATATTTCTGTGACAGAGCCATTGTTGCCCACAGTGTTGCCACTCATTTCCTTTGCCTGCCCAGAAAAACTGGGAAAAAAACATGCTTACAATCAAAGAGCGGGACTAGATTGGAGCAGAAGTGGTGGAAATGTTGAATGCACGTTTAATGCAAAATACCCCCCTGCAAATCAGTTTCAATGGGAATGAGGCACAAAATGGTGAATGCCTGCAGCGTAAGAAGCTCTCTGTCACCTCACATTTAGCTGTCTGGAAAAAAGAAAAGGGAAATGTGTGTCTCCAGCCACTACACGACTTCTGAAACTTCTTCATTGGCATTTTATAACATTATGGATGAAATTCTAAATACTGGCCTCTGAAGTAGGGGGTGAGGAACCTTTTTCCAGACTGAAGGGACTCAGCTATGCAGCTGCAAATAAATGTTTTAAGTGTGTTGTAAGGTGCATTATGCAAATGTGACACTAGCTGGTGATGGCGAGATACGGAAAATTCAATATATTTTTCAAAACGGTTTTTTTTAAAAAGCATTTTCACAGCTTTTTTTATATGTGTCTAGATTCCACTTGGGTCACATTCCTTTCTGGGCAACCTTTGGGGACGGTGGGGGGCAGGGGTGCCAACTTGAATAAAACAGGGGGGCAGGTAAGCCCCAACCCACATAATCAATCACAAGATGCAGCGCACACACAGCAATCATAGCTGTCAACCTTCCCTTTTTTTGCAGGAAATTCCCTTATTCAGCGCCATTTCCCACTGCTTCCCATTGCTATCCCGGATTGTTAGATATCCCGTAGACTGTCCCCGGGACAGGTGAGGCTGCTGATCCCTTATTTTCAAATCTGAAAGTTGACAGCTATGACACCAATTGAATGGCAATTTCCATCAGCTTTGGCAGGGCCTGGCCCTCTCAAATATTTTACGGGGGGCAGGAAAGGGACCAAGGCCCCTAGGAGTTGTCACCAGGGACGGGGCATATGCTAGTGGAAGGTGGGGTCAAAGTGAAAAGAGAGCGGAGCAACAGATGTAAATTTTACCTTGGCATAGCAGGCTCACCTATGCACACACTGAGACACCCCTCTCTAGCTTCCATCCAGGCAAGGAGGAAGCATTAGCTAGATAGACTCAAATGACTGAATTCAGTCCCACCAGGGGCTGAGGTTTCCTCATACCTGTTCTAAAGGTTGGTTTTATTCTGCTGCTGCAGTACCCCTGCTGCCATTACTGCTAAGAAAGCCAACAGAGCCCTTTTAACCATAGCATCCTTCTTTTAAGGATGCATGTATGTATAGATGCCTTACTGGCAGCAATCCTGCACATACTTACCTGGGAGTAAGCCCCATTGGAAAGAATGGGACTTCCCATGTATAGGTGTGCATGTATAGGTGTGTGCTGCCAAACCATGCTTTACTAAAGCAAGGTACTGTATTCCTTTTTTTAAGGCCTGCAGGGCTCTTGAAAGCCAGGTTCTTGATGCTAATTGCAAAGCTCAATGCCAGTTACTAATTGCCAAGGGCTTGCAACTCATTTCCAACTCTCATCACTTTCCACAACAGTGCAATTGGTGAACTCCAGTTGGTAATAGCATGACAAACATAACTGAGCACTGCACTTACTCTGCTGCCAGAGCTGAAACTGATATTGCCCATTAGTAATTCCTTACGCTGGCTATTTGCCTGAGCAGCTTTTCACTTGTCCTCTCTTTGGAAGCAGAAGACAGATATCCTTACTCAAAGGCACACTACGTGCTAACACATTTGAGAAACTTTCACTTAATAAAACAAAGCGGCGACCTTCAACAACTCTATCTCTTTTGCCCTTCATCATCACCTTGTATTGCTGTAGGCATTATTTTATTTTATTTTTTAAATCTAACATTTAGTTTATTCTAAATACTGCCTGCTCAGAGCATAGTGGGAGGGTGAATAGGTTGTTTTTCCCCCCCAGTGTCTGGGAAAACCCCAAGACTTCTGTTTCAAGAGTTGAAAGGCAAACAACCCTGTTTTCTTTACAAAAGTAACTCACTGATGTTCCAACTTAGAAGATGACAAGTCAAAAGGATCCACTCAGCACTGCAGATGTGGAAACACTGAAATCGAGCTGAGGGTGGACTGGACTGCAGCAATTTTTTTAGGAATTATACCTTTACTCTGCCAATCCAGGGAGTTAATGAAATGGGTCATTATCAAACACAGTCCCTTTAACTCTGAAATGTCACATGTCTGCAGTCAGAATAATCCGGAGAGCAGTGGCTTGCACCCAGCTGAGTGCAGGAGAGGCAGATGGGAAGAGTAACGTGACCACTGCATACCGACAAATATATTTGATGGAAACTGAAGGAGCATAGATTTCTTATTCATTAGAGCAGCCTGCATATCATTTCACTCGCTTGCAGGGTGGTGTGAGGTCACGAAGGCAGGGGACTTTGTCTTCAAAACAGAGCTAGGAGGTCCCATTTAAGGGCCTGATAAAGCTACAATCCTACTAATTCTACAAAGAAACACCTGCTCTCTCCCCATTTGTTACATTCCACCAGTTTCCTCTATGCTAGGGATGCGTCTTCTGTGGCTGTAAGGAAGCCTTTTCCAACTTGATGGCTGATACTCTCCAGAGGTTTTGGATTGGGGGTTGAAAGTGTAGTCCAAAACACCTGGTCGGTGCCCAGCTGGCAAAGGCTGCAGTATGGAATGTACTGCATCAGAATTTATTTGAGAGGGTTAAATAGACAAGCAAGTCTTCACTTCTGAATTGTCTGAGTGCTACCCCTTTTTATTAGGGCAAATTGCTTTTGCATACCACAAAGAGGTGCAAGCTACTTATTCCCCACTAAAACCAGAGACAATACCTACATGCACTAACGAAGTGGGGCAGGCCACCTGCAAAATTCACCATAGGAACTACTGCAAACATAACCACAGCCCTAGAACACTGCACAAGTTATGTCTTTTGCAAGCGGTTGGAGAGAGTGTGACTCTGAGTCAGTAATATTTATTTCCCATCATCTAACGCAAGGCTGCATACCTGCGCTGATTCAGCATGCAGTTTATTAAGAATCTGCCAAACTTCAAGCTATATTGGTTGGCTAATTCAGAGAGTGAAAGGAAACTAAAGCTCCCTGTTCCCCCAGAAGTGCATCGAACTTGCCACTGTGCATTCCTAAACTGGACAGGATACAAATGCTTACAGATTAGAGGCTACCTTCTGCCCTTACCTGTGTAGCTGGTTCTCTTGCCTCATTCTCTGCTTGCCTTCCCATCAGCCTTTCTTTCCACTCTTTCCCTGCATCCTAATTTCAACCATCCCAGTCTAAATTTCTTAGTTGTGACCGTGTGGGTGATCTTGTGATCCTGCCAGGTACCCAGAATACCTATACAGTGGTACCTCGGGTTACATACCCTTCAGGTTACATACGCTTCAGGTTACAGACTCCGCTAACCCAGAAATAGTACCTCGGGTTAAGAACTTTGCTTCAGGATGAGAACAGAAATCATACTCCGGCAGCATGGCAGCAGCAGGAAGCCCCATTAGCTAAAGTGGTGCTTCAGGTTAAGAACAGTTTCAGGTTAAGAACGGACCTCCGGAATGAATTAAGTACTTAACCCGAGGTACCACTGTAGCCCAGTGCTGCAGGAGCAAGTGATATCTGAATGACAGCTTTAGACCTTAGTTTTTAAATCACCAGAAAAGTACATTCAGGGCTGCATCTTAAGTGTCCAGTCCTAAACATTTGTCTGTTTCTAAAAAGCTATCTTAACACCCCTTCAATGATAGAACAGCGTTTTGTTTTGTGACAACATCCCTTCATAAGTTGTAGCACACAATCCATAATAAATGATTATTATTATTTCCTGAAGGCAGCTCTGTATAGGGAAGCTTTTTAAATGTTTAATGTTTTATTACATTTTTATGTATGTTGGAAGCCACCCAGAGTGGCTGTGGAAACCCAGTCAGATGGGCAGGGTACAAATAATAATAATTTTTATAAGCATATTTGTAGCATGTTATCTCAGCTATCATGATGTATAGTTATGTTTTGTCATTAGTTCCTGAATAATGAAATACTGCAAAATTCTGCACAACAGCAAAACATCCTGATATTTAATTTTAGTGGACAAATTACCTCCACTCGTATAACCTAATGAACAAATCTCCATTGTAATATGAGTAAATGGCCTCTGTTTGACAATTCAAGTATAAATAGACTCTGCTCACAATGGCAGCTTTGTTCTAAGCATAATTATCCTGCCTGTTTGAATATATGTGGGAATATGGGAAAGAAAACACCCTTAATTTGAAGTCACTTCCGAATATTGACATGGGGAAGTGAAACTATGCTGAAGATGGCAGTATATATACTTTTACTGTGTGGCTTGAAAGAAGACCTGGCAAAGTTATCTGAAAGAGAAGTTCAAGCAAAGTGAACAGGCCCGAAATAGCCACTGCAACCCGGCAAGAACTCCATGACAACAGTCCAAGCATAAACTCAAGTACCGCATATGAATACAAACACCCTCATGTGCAACTGCTTCACAGCTCTCTGAATTTGATGGGAGTGTGTCTGCATATGTAAATGAAGCTCCACATGCAACCACATTGGAGGCCATTGAAATAAAAAATAAGGTCTTATATAATAAATGTTCATAAATGTACCAAGCAAACACATACATAAATATATAAACCACATGTCTGAAGCAGCACAGGAAAACAGCCCTGAAACCATTTTGACTCCCAAACTGACCAAATGTTTTCTCTGCAAGGTTGAAGGAAAATGGAAAAGCCTCCCCATTGTCTTTTCCTTCACAAATCCTGTCTTACGGGTATGTCTGTGTATGAATAGGATGAGCCTGTGACCTGGCTCAGGAACGAAGTATTTGTCATTACAAAAGACTGGCCAGGCTCCCCAGGGTATCCAATCAAGTGACCATTAACAGGTCTGCTAGACAGGAGATAAACAACGCACTCAGATTTCTGTTGTAGACTGCCCTTTCTGTGATGTAGGTATGAGGTTTCTGGGGGTGGTCTTGGACTCCAGGGCGGGCAATTTAAAATGTCTATATAAGGGCAGGCACACCTTTGCTCAGGGTCCTTCTCCTTTCCTGCGTGTGAGGGGAGCACCCTGTTGCAACAGATCAGGCTTACGAGCTGCTTTGCTTCTCAAAATTCTCTGGTTGGCCTCTGGAGAACCTACAAAGGACTCTAAGGCCTCTTGTGTTCCCCATAAGGGAATAAGGACAGATGTCGGTTTATTACACCATGCACTGCAGGTGTGATCTGAGCTGGCTGAGGACCCAAGAAAGGTTTGGTATAGGCTATTGGGGTTTCCCTGTCAGCTCTATTCCTGTTATGTACTAAGCTTGGATGCTTGTAGGAATTGCCTTAGAACCTGAGGATGAGGCAAGACTCTTCTGTTTAGCATAAGCAAAGGGTTTATTGAAACCAAAGCCTTGGGTTTTGGCTAAGAGGTGAAGTCTGCTTCTTTTCAGATGGATTAGGAGGGATCCATGGAAAGAACCAGAACAGATCCTGCAAGCAAAAGCTGGAGGTGGAGGGCGGGGAGAGAGACAAGGCCCTGCATTTCTCTTTGTTCAGGAAGTTAGAGAAAACCCAGCACTCCAGAGTTCCTGCTTCACTGAAGCCCTGCTTTCTATGTAGGTTGCCTATTTTTAGATGATCTTCGAAGAGCCACTGTTTAATCCGTGGTTTTAGATGGGCTGCTGAGATATAATGCAGCCCGTACTTAAAGACTGCAGCTAGCGTGCCCCAGAGACCAGCGGCGTAGCGTGGGTTGTCAGCACCCGGGGCAAGGCAAGTAATTTGCGCCCCCTAACCCGGGGCAAGGCAAGTAATTTGCGCCCCCTAACCCCTAACCTGCCGCCGCTGCCAGCTTCTTCTTGCTGCTGCCTGGGCTGGTCTGGTGTGGTTCTCTCCCGCGCTCAGCGCTGCGCTGGGCGGCCGCTGCACTGTCCCTCCCCCAGATAGTTCCTCGCTCTCTCTCTGCACCGCACGCCTGGCACCCACCCCCTCCACAGTGGGCGGCGACCCAGCGGCTCAGATCGGATTTGCACAGCCAGCACTGCAGTGAGAGAGAGTGAGTGAGCCAGGTAGGGGCAGAGAGCTGCGAGTGCGAGCTCCCCCCAGATGTTGCGCCCGGTGCGGCCGGCCCCCCCTGCACCCCCCACGCTACGCCACTGCCAGAGACCTCAAATACTTGAACACAGCGGAAGTTACTGTATATGCTACAGTAAATATCCAAAATAGGGTTGATGCTCCAATACTGACAATATGGTGACTGTCAAACATGGGCAAACAGTCCCACGCCAAGAAGTGAGGGGGGTGCCTGAAAAAACCAAATGGAGCTACACAAGTAAATGTGGACAATAAACATGTAGTTGCTCACATTCACTGGCCTGCCTTTATATGTTCAGAAGCTGCCTGAAGGATTTGCAACATCTTGGCATCCAGTGGCACACCTGAGTCAGAGGTATTTGTCTCTGGCAACCTGAATAATGGGATTTCTGGAAAGGAGACTCCTGATCCTCCTCATGCGGTCATGGGTTTTCATATGAGAACTGCCACTTCCCACATGTTCTGAAGGCAACCATCACAGTTTAACTGGACTAGTGGTTGACCTGTTAAAAACACTACCACCAGCACAGATGTTCAGCGCAGTCCTAACCCTGACTACTCAAATGTAAGCCTTATTGAATTCATTGTGTCTTACTCCACCAGTAAATGGGGTTCAGACTGCAGCCTTAGCTAAACAGGAAGATATTATTACTCTGGCCATGTGTTACCTAATATACGTTAATGACTCTCAGGCTGGGGAGAGGTTCTAGATTCCACCCCCCACCCTGCCTGCCAGAGTCAAATTTAAATGCTTGGAATGCAGGGAGGAAGAAAGCATTGTGGGGGTTTGTTTTTGCTTTTGTTTTGCAGTGTGGAGAAAAAAAGTTATGCATGGCCCCTCTGCTCAAAATGAGCTTCTCCCAGTGCAGAAAAGTGTCCACTGGGGCTTGTTTTGTACATAATTTGTGTATCATGTGTGCCCTTCGGCGATAGTGCTTCAGATCCTCCCCCTTTTCCTCTCTTTTGTAAAACAAATGGCTAAAAAATGGTAATGTTAGGCACCTCTTATGTTCATGCTTCTTCAAAATATAGTCCATTACAGACTCATTTCTAGAAGTCACCAGAATGTCACCTAGTCCAGTCCTTGCACATATGTTTCAATAAAGCTTCTATAAGATCACTGAGATCACAGAAGATCAACTATGGAAGCAGGAGCAATAGATGCACCCTGAATGTAGAGCAAGGAATGATTCAAACTGTGCATGTCTGGATGGCTCAGGCAGGTGAGCCATGTGATACTGGTGAAAATAAAGAGCAAAATATAGAAAGTAAAACACTAGGATTCTCAGAAAATATGACCTGTGGAAAGCAATTTTACCAAACTGCCCAATCTGTTCAACTCGGAGACCAACAACAAAACTGGGCCAACACTGAAAAGACTCACCTCTATAAGCATGTAAAACGAAAGCATGGTGACTCCAAGGTTATATACAATGAGAAGACCCCTGAGTGACAGAGCAGGCCTGTTCCTCATAAATGTGGTACCCAGCCATATGAAGAGAAGATACGCAACAGTGAGGGAAAAAGTGGGCAAGTAAGAATCCAGCATGAGCCATCCTCTGACCCTGGGATCTGAAGAAACAAAGCAAAGCAAAAATCCTCATGAAATCAGCACATATAAATATTTCTTATTCAATACAGTCATTCAATGGGCGACCAACGCCTTTTCAGTCTCCCAGTAATACCCACCCTCCAGTCTTTACAACCTTCTCCTAGGATGCTCTTATAATGTGGGGTTTTTAGTTTGTTCTTGCTCTTGTTTTTATTATGTCCCCTGCCCCTAGTACTTTTATGTTGTGAACCGTCCTGACATCTATGGATGAAGGGTGGTACATACAATTTTTAATAAATAACAGCTGATTATTCAATTAAATTTAATGGGTGAGAACTGAAATAGCACAAGCAAGTGTCTTCTTGTGCAACAGGGCTTCTCTCGCTTCTCAACCCCCTACAGAACCCATGTGCCCCCAAAATCTGCTCCAGAGGGCTGAAGGACTATCCAGAGCAGAGTTTGGGGGCACAAAAGGGAGTTGGAGGGGGGAAAAGAGAGAATGCACAAGCAGATTTCTGCTGTGGAGGTGGGCAGACATCACTGGATGTCATCCAATATATTTGCACATTACCGAAACCCCAATAAACGATCAGATTGTATAATGCTTATAATATAAGCCTTTGATTGTTTTTAATCATTATTACCATTTGTTAGAAGAAGTCACCTTCTACAATGTCTTTTTTCAGACAGCAGTACACTGTCCAGAACCAGAATAGCTTAAGAACCATAAGAGGCATTCATCGTTCCTGGATGCAAACATAAGTATGTCCTAAACTGGCAGTTATGCCTTCCAGTAGGCAGGTTAAGGCCTAATGAAGTGCTGTCAATTTCAGTCAAACTATTCACAGGTGAATGGTAAGACCCACCTTATTTTTATGCCCATAGTTTTACATTGTTTTTAATGTCTTTTAATGCTGTGACCCACCCTTGGAACTTAGGGTGAAGGGCGGGAAATAAATAAATAAAAACAATTGAAAGGTTATTGGTACAACAAAAGATAACAAACCAATAAGCTTCACAAATCAAAGCAAGAGTTAACACCTGTGTATGATGATTCAGTTAGAACAGGCATGGCCAAACTTGGCCCTCCAGATGTTTTGGGACTACAATTCCCACCACCCCTGACCACTGGTCCTGTTAGCCAGGGATGATGGGAGTTGTAGTCCCAAAACATCTGGAGGGCCAAGTTTGGCCATGCCTAAGTTAGAAGTTACTCTAAGAGAACAAGAAGGAAGCTTAGAATCAGAAGAATAAGATCATACCTTATTTGACCATAGCAAGTGGGGCTCTGCTTAATAATTATTATTACAGAGTCACCTGGCCAGTATCTGATCCCCATTATTTATTGTCCCCAAACCACAAATATTGTCGATTGCACACACCCTGGGTAGCTGTGGCAAAGCATCAGTTCATTTCTATTCTGAGCTTGGACTTTCACACCTGAATCTTTATGCGTTTCCTTGTAAAGCTATAAGTCCTTACATTATCAACTAAATGCCTTTGGCGCTTTCTTAAGGTAGCTGACCTGAAGCTTTTGCACAAGTGAAGCTGTCGATGACTAGGGATTTTTTTTAAAAAAGGTGACTCATCCCTTCCTGCTATCCATGCTGCATTTTCCTTTTCTTTATCGGGCCTTGATGAATGCCAAGCATAACTACCTCAAAGTCTCCCGATATGGTTGACTATTTGTGCAAAGCCAACAAACTATACTAGCAATCAACTTGGATAATACCGTCCTTGCTGTGGCTGTGACGTAATGACGGCAATGCTGCAACGATCACTTGTTACACTTCTGAACCTGCTAGGTAACAGCTCCAGGTAAAAGACCCATAAGGAAGCACCCTTTTGAAACAAACAACAACCAAGACCCTGTACTTTAAGAAAGTGTATCAAAACAGAACCCTGTGATCTGCAGAGGTATCCCTCTCTGCACCAGATGATAAGGACAAAAAAGACCAAAGGGCTATTGCTTCCAAGCCCCGCTTCTCAGGGGCATCTGAATTGCCACTATTTAAAACACAATGCTGCAGTTGAAATAGACTTTTATCCTCACCCAACAAAGCATTTTGCCTATTCACATTTCTAGCTTCACACCATATTCTGTTTAAGCTCTTTAAGTTGCCTAAAAAGCAGCAAGAACACGAATTATCTCAAAATTCAACACAGCACAATGCTCCCTCTGTGCTTACCTAGTCAATAGCTGGACTAGTCAATGGCTGGATATGAAATACGTAGTTTCCTCTTCCCACAATGAAATCCTGATGGTTCTACTAAATCCTGGCAGTTTCCCTTTTTGTTGTAGCCAACAAAGCAAATGTTTTCACAATTGTATCCTCCTATGACCAGGTAAAAGTCATTCACATCAACTTGCTTTCACTGGAAACACTGGTTTCTTCCTGTCAAGCAAGCTTCCCCTTTCATCAAATGAGCAAATTGGCACAGGTAGAATTCATTAGACTTAAGTACCTATATGTCCCTTGGGAGCTATAACAAGTGATTTTTATTAGCCACAATGAGCAATTGCTCCAGCTGCATTTCTGAACAGAAAGATTTTTTTTTAAGCACTGGCAAAGTGTCACTATCTTCTTTAAACTAAGGGCTACCTTCCAAATCTTTAACTAAAATATTACATGAGGAAATAAGAGAGTGATATATATATATATATATTAAAAAGCTTATAAGAGTGTGAAGTGTCATGTAAAAGAATTCCCTGGGAGTAAATAAATGAGATATGCTGCCTGTTATACATTCCACTAGGAGTTATCAGAACCAGCTATATATTCTTTTTGAACTAAATGCATTTATCTCCCAGTTTTCTTTAATCACCATGGTACACATATTATAATGACCCTCCAGCAGAGCTGGTGCAGGTGAGGAGAGCCTGGTAGCACCATGAAAGGAACACCTACCTCTAGCTCCAAACATATAGTCCACAAACTCATTTACTTCATGGTCAAATGCCTTCAGATGTTCCTAAAAAGAAAGCAGAAGGAAACAAGGGTCAGGTATGTTATGTCCTCATTTACAGAGATGTACAATCTCTTGGGCTTGCCGATCAGAAGGTTGGCGGTTCAAATCCCTGCGAGAGGGTGAGCTCCCGTTGCTCTGTCCCAGCTCCTGCCAACCTAGCAGTTCAAAAGCACAGCAGTGCAAGTAGATAAATAGGTACCGCTCTGGCAGGAAGGTAAATGGCGTTTCCATGCGCTGCTCTGGTTTCGGTGTTCTGTTGCGCCAGAAGCCGCTTAGTCATGTTGGCCACATGACCCAGAAAAACTGTCTGCAGACAAACACCAGCTCCCTCGGCCAGTAAAGCGAGATGAGTGCCGCAACACCAGAGTTGTTTGCGACTGGACCTACGGTCAGGGGTCCTTTACCTTTACCTTTTTACAGCCACGACAGCTAAATTGACCTCCACGTGGAGTACCAACATACATCTGGGTATCTAATACTAGCAGCAAACAACAGGGAGAGGTTGCCTTTCTGCATTTCTTCATCTGGGTGGTCATTTTTGGAAAAATAATGTTGGACAAGATGGATCCTTGGGCTGATCCAAAAGGGATCTTCTTCATAGGATCTTAATGCAAACGTAAGATTGGCGGTAAACAACAAAGAGACTTGAAGCACTTTAAAGACTAACAGATTTATTATGGCACAAACCAATCTAGAAACTTCTCCATTTTATGCATGAAGTGCTAACCTCAGTTGACAGGCATATATGGATCCACTAGTACAGAGGGGAGGAATTGTAAACAGTGAGGTTGTGGCAGTGAAATGCAAAAGGTACTATTTGTGAGAATTAAAGCTCCAAGGAAGACTCAGAGTTGAGCCACTGAAATTAATAGACGTAACTTAGTCATGTTAGTGGGTCTACTCTGAATAAGCTTAATTGATTACTGCTTCCCAATGAGCAATAATCCCAATGACCACAAAAGCAGTATCTGGTGATTCCACAATAACCTTATCATTCCTAAGTAAAAGCAGGAAGCAATTGTCTCTATTCAAGTCCAAATGAATAGAATCAAACTGTTATAATTCAGCTATTTCACACTTTCAGAGTCTCCCTCTGAAATTCCTTTATAGGAGAATGGCAACTTTTAGGCGAGCAGCAAAATATCCTGAGAGATTGAAATGTTCTTTTGCTAGTTGCTAGGAGTTGCCTTTTCTGAGGTCAGATGAGACTGGCAGAGATTCTTTTCTGCAAAAGAGCCTCAAAAGTATCTGCCAACACAGGCTGACACTATGGAGGGTTTGAACGGGCAAGTCACCATGTAAGCTCAGATGCATGATCTGCTGTGGCTGGCAACTGAAAATTACAAGTTAGGAGGGGGTGGGGGGCAAATCAATAAAAGCAAACAAGTGGTTCATAACAGGAGTTGACCCAGGACATTGCACCAATGTCATGTTGATACTACAAACCAAGATAAGCCAACGAGGTGCTGCAGCGATTTGCGAAATGATTATGCAACAGCACAAAAATGAACACAGAATAGACAGAGCACGAGAGGATGGGGGCAAAGCTTGAGACGATCTCCTAATACATTATCCTACAGGCCTTTCGGCTACTACTGAAACCACCTGTATGGAGGACACAACCCTATGCACTTAATGTACTGCAGTAACATGTTATAAGTGGCAGGCTTCTTCCACAAGGGTTGTCAGCATAGTAAGCTTCTGTGCAAATTCTGCCAGCTACAGGTATCAATAGGATCAATGCATTCTTCAAACACTCTTTAGGGAAGACCATATTCTGCAGAGGATCTACTTACACAGTTTGCATTGTTTAGTGAAATCTGCATGCACAAAAGCAAAGGCAGGATAGATGCCCCAAAGATGCTGTTGAAGATACGTTCAGTTGAAAGATGGGGAAGCATTAAAGTACCTTTGAAAGGTATAGTGATTGTGGCATGGTTTGTTGCATTTGGAGACCAATGTATATTTTCTAGTTTTCTTATTTAATTGTACTGCCATTCAGCTCATGGTTTGGCTGTTAATCGTCATTACAAAGTATACATGCCATTGGTCCCAGGGCAGCCTGTATATCAGAATGCACTGTTTGTATTCTAAATAGTTAATTTGAGACTCCTTTTTAATACTATTATCTGGTTGGAAATACCAGTCCGATTCTACAAAAGTGCTACTGATTTAACAGAAAAAGAGAAATCGTTTCAATCAAAACTATATTTTCACTTGCTCTATTAAGTTGATTTGGGATGCGGGTGGCACCACTGAAGCCTCTTGCGCTTGACAATCAGAAGGTTGGCAGTTCAAATCCACACAACAGGGTGAGCTCCTGTTGCTCTGTCCCAGCTCCTGCCTACCTAGCAGTTTGAAAGCACGCCCGTGCAAGTAGGTAAATAGGTACCACTGTGGCAGGAAGGTAAGCGGCATTTCTGTGCACTCTGGTTTCCGTCATGGTGTTCTGTTGTGCCAGAAGCGGTTTAGTCATGCTGGCCACATGACCTGAAAAGCTGTCTGTGGACAAATGCCAGCTCCCTTGGCCTGAAAGCAAGATGAGTGCAGCAACCCCATAGTCACCTTTGACTGGACTTAACCATCCAGGGGTCCTTTACCTTTAACCTTAAGATGATTTAACCTATATCCATAAGAATATATCTTCAAATAGTTTGAGTTGAAACATTTGCCTGCAGCTGCCCTACATTACTATTAAAACATTTTAAATGTACACCTAGAAATGTAAGGTGCAAATGTGATAAATACAAATTTCCAAATATGTCTATCATACTAAAACTTATCAGGGAACTGTGTTCCCAAGGCTAGCTGGTTTCAACAAAAAATAGTTTCAGATGAGGAGCTGAGTCAGGAAGCATGGAGTGTGAGAAAACAGAGAACCTCAACTTTAGCCTTCTCTTACTGCTTCTGTTTCACAGAGATCCCATTGTCCAAAGTTTTAACATGACATTTTAGAAATGTAACAATATTTTGTTCATCTCTATGTGGCTTATAACAAATGTAAAATCAAAGCACAAAAGCTTGAATTTATTATTAGGTAACATAAGTGGTATTTACACAAAATAGGAACAATATCACTATTAACATGAATTCTAATGCCAGTGGACAAATCTCTGCCCAAGGCTGAATTTTAATACATATGAGGGACATGTTGGTTTATTGGTACTGGTGGATGAAGGTTGGGAAATACAAAAGGGGAATTCGTTGGGAAGAAAAACTTCTGCATCTAAGAGGCTTTCCTGTAAAAATGCTATTTTCACTTGCTGTGCACATTAACCACATGAAATTATTTTCCATCAAGCTTTTTTTTTTTTTTTTTTTTTGGTGTGAACGAAATCTATACAACTGCTGCTTTCCCTTCAGTCCTTGTTAATGAGTGAACTTGTTGAATTTAGTGTAATTGCTGTGACTGCAATACTAAGCTACTTGGCATTGCACAGCAGAGAAGAGACTGAGATGCAAAGCAAGAAGTCCCCAGCTCATTTCTCACCTTTCCATGAACTCATTAGGTGCCCTTAGACAAGCTGCTCTCTCTGTCTCAGCCTTTCTACAATATGGGGAATACTAGCAATTTTGATTCATTTTGTGATGTTGCTGTAAGGATTGCAGCTATCTTATGAATTATTACTTTATTTCCCATTATTTGATTACCCAGCAACACTTGATGCAGCTGATGCTGAATGTGTGAACTGACTCCATCTGAAAATGCTGCATTTAAAGTGACACAGGATCACAATAATGTTCTATATGTGGTATGGCTTCAGATCCATGATGGTCTATTCACACACACATGCAAGTTATCACTTGATGGCACAGTCATCAAATGACAGGTGTGCATGTGTGAACCAGCGTTATATGATCTGGCAGTATTCCACCATGGCAAAATCTCTCTGAAAAGTTCCCTCCTCCATCTAGACCAGCTCTCAGAGAACTGAAAACATTAATCTTAGTATAAGTAAGGTGCAGGGAGATGTGTCATACTCAGGTCATTTCCTCAATCTCAGAGATGAAGACTTACTATATGGAGTTTTTATTTTATACACATTGGAAGGAAAAGTTATGTAACAACAGAACTATTTCCCACATGACTGAGCATATAATATCTCCTGAGATATGAGGGGAGAAAAAAGAGACAGGATCACGTAAGAAGGATGTGGGTTTTTTTTAAGTTTGCTTTTCTAACTCAAAATGTGTCACATGCAATTAAGATCAAGCTATTCAGTGCTTCTCAATTTGTTTGTACTCTAAAAGCTTTTCTTAAACTTTTTTTTTAAAAAGCTAACCACTTTCTGTCTAGGTTTTTACACAGTGCAGATAATTCTGTTTCTCAACTCTCCCTAAACCCAAAAGGGAACCATATTCAGTTATGCTATTTAAGTAGAATACAACAAAGTGAAGATATGATGTGTCAGAGCTCGAATAAGTAGGACGTGTGTCTTTTCTCTTGAAATACTCCCCAACTCTGCTGTCTGACTCCTTTTGTCCATCTGCTGTGCATGATGGCAAATTTACATGTTACACACAAATTGGTGTAATTAAACCCTAATGGCCATATCACTAATAGAACAGCAATGTTGGGAGATAGGACCAGCCCAAGAAATTTAGTTGCCCGAGCTGAGGAACAATATAGTGGCACCACCCCATTCCACAGAAAAATGCTGACCAGGCTGGCAGCTGAATCTGACTTCATCTATCACCCAGGGGGGCAGGGAGCAGGTTAACTTAGGGAGGGCAGGCTGTTCACAAGGAGATTTATCCTTCAATGCCTCACTGCTGTTCCCTCATTGTTTCACCTGATGCCTGCTTGCTGCCCAGGTCTAATTTTACTTTGGAGGCTTATGGAGTTTTCTAATATTTGCGTTTAATTAGAAATGTGCAGGTTGAGCCCCAGCTTAAGCAATCAAACAGAGGGCCAAATCCATTTCCCCAGACAGAGATGGCGCCCTAAATGCTGTTAGCTTACCGAGCCCCCAAACACAGCTTTTTCTAGGGTTACACTGAACACAACCTGTTTCTACACATTTACAAGAGTGTAACACTTCTTGATTTGTACAGTGGTACCTCTGGTTAAGACTTAATTCGTTCCGTAGGTCCATTCTTAACCTGAAACTGTTCTTAACCTGAGGTACCACTTTAGCTAATGGGGCCTCCCGCTGCCTCCGCCGCCACGCGATTTCTGTTCTCATCCTGAGGTGAAGTTCTTAACCCAAGGTACTACTTCCGGGTTAGCGGAGTCTGTAACCTGAAGCGTTTGTAACCTGAGGTACCACTGTACACCTGGACTATTGTGTACGGAGGCACACGGACTACACAGTTGTTGAATGTAACGTGTGAAGGCTCCTCCTGTAACTTCTTCCGCACTCCAAAACTGTGGTCTGTGTTTTCCTATATACAGACATAGATGACATAATCTTTACCTAGGAGTTGGGGGAGAAAGTCAGGCCCTGTTTCAGGTATCTCCTAGCCCAGTGGTGGCAAACCTATGGCATGTGTGCCAGAAAGGGCACTCAGAGGCCTCTCTGTGGGCATGCGTGCAGGGCTGTAGCTCCTGTGCTGGGGGGGGAGGAGGGGGAGAAGAGGGCTTGCGTGCAAGCAGGAGGGGAGGCAGGGATCTCTCAGAAATGGAGTGGAGGCTTCGTGCTGAGAGATTCCCACCTCCACTCCTGCTTGCACCCAAGTAGGAGTGGCATCGGGCAGCTCAGTTGAGGCGCGCCTGGCTGCCTTCAGATGGTGCAGGGGCTCTCAGATGCAGCTTCCGGGCTTCCTCCACCTTCCCCAACCCCAGCAACTATTCAGCCTGGCTGCCTTCACAGGGTTGCAGGGGATCTGATGTGGAGGTGGGGCTCCTTTAAACTTCTCCCTTGAGGGGAGTGCAGTCATGAACCCCTCAATGGAAAGTGTGACGGAGCCTGCATCTCCCCAGCTGAGCAGCCCCGATCCAGCTCCTGTTCCCATGCAAGCAGCAATGCTGCCTAGCAGAGCAGCCCAATCCCATGCCTACTTGCCTGCATGCAGGAGCAGGCTGGGGAGGGGGTGGCGGCGATATGCCTTGCCTGCTCATGTAACGGAAGTGTGGCACTCAAAATGGAAGTTATACTCAGAACAGAGCACATTTGGCTTCTGAAAAAAGTTTCAAAACCGGAGCACTCATTTCCGGGTTTGAAGTATTCAGGTTCCAAGCAGTTTGAGAACTAAGCTGTTCGAAAACTGAGGTACCACTGTATTTATTTTTCCCAATTTGAATTGTATTTATATTTCCCAATTTGAACTGTATTTATCCCCACCCCACCCCCGTGGTGATTTTCTTGGGTCAAAATGAGAGTACAGTGGTACCTTGGGTTACAGACGTTCCAGGCTACAGACGCTTCAGGTTACAGACTCCGCTAACCCAGAAATAGTACCTCGGGTTAAGAACTTTGTTTCAGAATGAGAACAGAAATCGCATGGCGGCAGCGCAGTGGCAGTGGGAGGCCCCTTTAGCTAAAGTGGTACCTCAGGTTAAGAACCGTTTCAGGTTAAGAACGGACCTCCAGAATGAATTAAGTTCTTAACCCGAGATACCACTGTACCCCTAAACATTTTTTTAGAAAAAAGCGCTGAGTTATACCATAAAATTATATATCAATGGAAGGATAATTTAATGAAGAATGTAATGCAATAACTTTTATGAATTATTATTTATTACAACAGCAGTCATAAAGAAGAAACATGAAACACACAGAAAAAAATGAGATATACAGGTTAAATTGCCGTGTTGGCACTTTGCAATAAATAAGTGGGTTTTGGGTTGCAGTTTGGGCACTCGGTCTCTGAAAGGTTCACCATCACTGTCCTAGCCTTTCAGAAGACTCAAGAAGATCCTGCTATTGTAAGCAATCTGCCAATCTCTCTAACAAAGGAGGTACTTGTTAACTTTGACAGATTACTTCTGGCTCCATTAACCCTTTCTTGTATAACCCATTTCCAAACTTTCAACCGTGTTTTTGCAAAACACAGTGGTTTTTAAAGAGAACTGATCTGAGTCAAGAGGAATAAATTAAAATCCCACACTGAATAGTGTTCTTCTAACCAAAATGGGGCAAGGTCCACTAGATTAATAGCCTAATATGCCTATTACTATTACAATAATATTGCTTCAGAGTAAGGCAGAGCGGCTAACATTCTCCGCATTGCAATTTTGTAAATTGGGAACTTGTGGCCAGCCTTCTTGCTGAGTGTGAAAGGATAGACTTCTATGGATACTGACCATCCCTGGACCTGTTTGGGAGAAAGAAACCCAAAAGCAAGTGAGTCTATAAGCTTATTTCCACTGTATGCCTGCTATTAAGAGTGCATATTTGCATCCTAATTCTATTCTGCTTCCAAATCTGGAATTTACCGTATTTTTCGCTCTATAGGATGCACCCAACCATAGGACACACCTTGTTTTAGAGGGGGAGAACAAGGGGGAAAAAATTCTCCCCCTCTCTGCTCAGCGCCCCTTCAGCGAAGCGGCAGGAGAAACGGAGCCCCTTCCATTTCTCCTCCCGCTTCGCTGAAGGGGCGCTGCGCAGCTCTCCCTCTCTGCTGGTGTGCACCGACCCCTCTCACTCTCCAGGCTTTAGCGAAAGCAACGCGAAGCCTCCGTAGCATGAAGGGAGCGCTCCCTCTGCGCTTTGGAGGCTTCGTGTTGCTATTGCTGAAGCCAAGGAGCCTGCATTCGCTCCACAGGACACACACACACTTCCCCTTCATTTTTGGAGGGGGGAAAGTGCGTCCTATAGAGCGAAAAATACATTAATTGCAAGTTTGAGAAAAACAAAAACAAAAATGCTCGTTCGTTCTTTTCCTTTAGTGCATATTTGCTTAGTTTTGCTGACTCTTGTTCCTGCTCAGATGGTGAAACTTATGAATCAACTAGTAGAATATCCTAATCCAGTGTTTTATTAATGGTAGGAATGCACCTGGGAACCTTGAGTGGAAGGTGGCACTGAGGGGATATCCACAGATACCAGGTATTTCACAAAAAGCATTCCATACACCATCTCTAACTGGAAAGACTGAAATGAAGTGACATTGATCAAAATATTTTAGCAAAGAAGAAACAGCAAACACGCTGGTATCTTTGAGCCCAAAGTCCCAGCACTAAAGCCTTTCCTTCAAAATAAATAAAAACACAAAAAGGGGTTTGTGTGTACCCTTTATACTAAGTAAGCCATCTCTGTGGTCAGTGTGTCTGTGTGCAGAATTCCTGCATTGCAAGGGGTTGGACTGGATGACTCTGAGAACCCCTGCGAACTCTACAATTCTATGATCCTAGTATTTATTAGACGATTGTCTAGCACACATTCCATAGTTATTTTACTGTCTTTTTTAAAAAAGAAAACAACCCTGTTATAATGAAGTGTTGCAAACATATGTATCACACACAAAATCTGGCCAAATTAAGAAAATATGATGTTTGCAGCTCTGGAATCTCCCTGCTCTTAATGCTGCAAAATGAGCCTGGCCCGGAAAGGAGATTAGTGCAATCCATTTAAAAGTAATCCTATTCTATTCTACCTACTTCATAGTGGAACATCAGCTTAATTTGTAATTAAGGAAGATTTATCTGGGGAGAGTATCTGAAGAATCCTTCTTCCCCAATCTGGTGCCCTCCAGATGTTTTGGACTGTAATTTTCATCAGCTGCAGACATGGGGGCTGAGGCTGATGGGAGTCTTAACCACTGGCGGAGGAATGGGGGGCGGGGGGAGCGCACCGCCCCCAACACCATCGGGGAGAGGACTACCATTGCGCCCGCCCCCCCCCCCGGACATGCTTGGTGGACTTTCCCCCACAGCGCTGGGCGCCAAGCCCCCACAAGCAGTGTGTCATGCCCCCAGGACACATGCCATGCCCCTGTGGGTGGCACGTCACACCCCCGGGATGCATGCCACACCCCCATGGGCAGCATGCCACACACCCCAGGACACATGCCGCGCCCCCGCAGGTGACGTGCCATGCCCCCCGGGACGGGCGCCAACCACGCCCCTGCCTGCTCTCCACCCCGGTGCCAGAGCATGCAGCTTCGCCACTGGTCTTAACGCCTGAAAGGCATCGGACTGGGGGAGGTTGGTTTTAGCTCACCTCACCTCAAAATGGATATTGCAGAGTTGGAAAAGATTCAGAAACAGGCAACCAAAATGATCAAGGAGATGGAGTGACTTTGCTGTGAGGAAAGGTTCCATAATTTTTGACTTTTTCCATTGAGAGAAAGGGTGACATGACAGAAATTTGCAACTGATGCATGGCCTGGGGAAATTGGATAGAGAAAAGTATTTCTCCCTCTCTCAAAACACGTGAAATTGTGGGCATCCCATGAAATGGAATGTTGGAAGGTTCCAGATAAATAAAAGGAATTATGGTACTTCTTCACACAGTGCATAGTTAAAATTACATGTATTGTTTTCTCACTGAATTGTATTTTACATATTGAACAAATATTGTTTCATGAGATTTTATGTTGTTCACTGCTGAATATTATCTTATTAAGCAAGCTATAAATTTGTATAATAAGTAAATGTGTATAGTAAATAAATAAATCACTTCTATTGTTTATTCTTAGAATTTAAAATGTTGGCTTTCTACTTGAGTGCAACATCAAAGAAATCTACCAACAAGTTTGAGGCTTACGCTAGCTACAAAAAACAAGTTAGATGGCTGCTACCATGAAATAATGGGTTTTAAAATAGAATACATTATTTTAACAAACTTTCACCCTGCCCTTTCTGCAAGGAGCTTAGCCCAGCATGCATAGTTGCCGTTCATCTTCACAAATTGCCCTCTTCTTAGGCAGGGAATGTGTGTGACGCGCTCAGCACTGTTAGTTATTTGTAGTGTATTTGTAGCGTAAATGTATTACACACAAAAAAAAAACGGTATTGGGGAAAAGAGGTGGCAGTTGGCAGTTTATTTTGTTAGTTCTATCTTTAACTGTGAAAGTGAGAATTGTGGGGATGCTGTCTGGAGGACACTGTGAGGACAGGCAAGTTAATGGGTGAATAACTTATGCATTGCTATGAAGGAGTTTTGAAAGCAAAAAAGGACTAAATCCTCTCTTGAGCTCAAGGGAGAGAAATGCATTCCATTCATGAATGCATATGTAAATAATACTTGTTGTTCAACTGGGGCCAGCATGACAAGTAAAGATTTATCTCCAGCTATTTGTAAGGCATATATTTCTATCTTCTTCTTCTCCTTTGGCGATCACTCGTAGCCAAGTAAGATTGTCTTCCATAAACATGGTTTTATATAGCGTCACCTAATGAGCTTCATGTTTAGGGAGAAATTTGGAACTGGGTCTTCCTCATCCTAGCCCCATGATCTACACCAGGAGTGTAGACCTAGGGGCCAAACAGCAGTCCTCTCTGATCCTCAAGATTCTCTCCAGGCCACATACCACTCACTGGCCCTGCTCAACAACCTCCCTGAGTGCTCTTGCATGACTGGAAGACATTGCTTAATTGTAATAATGTCCTTCTTGCTTGCCTGGCTGGAGGAATGTGCATATAGAAACCTCTGGCTTTGGTGTGACTGCAGTGCAGCCTACTATACAAGGAAAGGTTGCATTAATTGCTCTGGTTACTTTTCCCTCAGGCCCTGCCCACCAGTCTCAAGAAAGAAGCCCCTGAAAAATTGCCTACAACCAGGGCCAGCCCACCCATGAGGCAAGCTGAGGTGATTGCCTCGGGTGGCAGGATTCACATGGGCAGCAGGTTCCATTGTAAATCTTTATTGCCCCTTGTTCCTGATGAACATCTTCCCTCACCCATTCATCCCTGGTGGGAAGGGGGGGCCACTGTTTTGTGGTTTGCCTCAGGTGACGAAATGTTTGGGCAAGCCCTGCCTATGAGGGAGCAAAGCCCTTAGGCTGAAAATAATTCCCTGGCTCTGTTGCATCCACTAGGCAATGACCTTTGTCCCCGAAGACTGCTTGTGATCTTGTTTGGTGATTCCTACAGTTATAGCAGCGGGCCAGTGTGGGAGAAGTCTTGCTGTGCTGCTAGGTTTATCCCCGAGTGCTGCAGGCTACGAGACATGTTGCTCTTACTGACAAATGGAACCATAATTAAGTAAAAATTAATTGACCCACATCGACACAGCATCATTCTTAGAATATTTTACAATTATCTGACGATCAGAAAAACTGAGCAGTCAATTGATTGCTAGTTGCTTTTCGGATGGTTTTATGGATTTTGATATCGTATCAGTTTTGCAAGGAAATCATGTATGCATACATCTGTGCAGCTAGCATAACAAAATATTAAAAGAGTAGGCTGGTGCATGTTATGTTGCTGACACAGACAAATGCACATTAGTGCATATGTTTAGGCACTGGATGTTTAGGAAATTATGGTGCCTTTGGCGTATCTCCTAGCTAATAGTGCAACTGAATGTAATAAAATCTCCAGCACAAACAACAAAAGCTATTATGCTACAGCCAGGACACATTCACACAACCAGCAGGCATCTGGGAACTTCAGGACATACACTTGGCATGGATGCTTGTGGCGACTGCCAGTCTGTAGTGAGGTATTACCACACACAGTATTCAGCTTTCAGCATGTTTGGGGAAGCATCGGTGGGTTTGGGTTAGAGGTAAGCATCCCAATGTGTGCTGTAATATAAATAAATCCCCTGCTTGGTCATAGATTTACACTGCACTTGGCTTCCACATACTGGATTCCGCATACTGTGACTATCTTGTGGTTAGAGGGTTGCCTGAGCAGCTTCAATAGACCTGGCAATCTTTACAGATGGAAAATAGTTTGCTAACTTTTACTGCTCAGGTTCAGTTCCATGCATTCAAATTTAATAGCAGATCAGGTATGCTTATCTAAATTAGTATCAATTTCTACACTTTCCATTGCAGTCTATATTTACTCATACAAGTGTAACCAAGTCTTTCTAAGCAGCCGGGCTGAATGACAACACTGAGTTGGCTAATGGTAGAAGCAATGCTTTAAAATGTTTCCATTTTATGAAAACTGAAAAGGAGCGGGGGGGGGGGGAGTATGAGAAAAATAATCCAGTCAATGTGATGCAGGGTAATTATCCATTTAGGAGCGGTAAACATCGCTAATCAGATTAACTGGATTTGGACCTTAGGAAAGTCTGCTCTTTAACCATGCAAGCCTATGTGTGTCTACTTGGAAGTAAGCCCTGTGGAGTTCAGTGGGACTTACTTTCAAGAACTGCAGCCTAATGGCCACATCTAATATTTATTATTTTATTTTATTTATAAGGTTCACATCCTGCCTCTCATTACATGCAATATCGAGAGGGACACAACCATTTGCAACAAAATATAAAACACTTTAATCATACACGCATACTTCATTCATTAAATATATCACTCAAGATAGTGATGCAACTCAGCACACTTTAGTAAAAGTGAATACTTTGTTTACAAATGCTGCAGGAACAAAGGCAGCAATGGTCCTCTAAACGGGAAATCAAAACAGCAATACAGTGGTACCTCGGGTTACATACGCTTCAGGTTACAGACTCCGCTAACCCAGAAATATTGCTTCAGGTTAAGAACTTTGCTTCAGGATGAGAACAGAAATCGTGCTCTGGCAGCACGGTGGCAGCAGGAGGCCCCATTAGCTAAAGTGGTGCTTCAGGTTAAGAACAGTTTCAGGTTAAGAACGGACCTCCGGAACGAACTAAGTAATTAACCTGAGGTACCATTGTATGTAACTACATCTCTTTGTTTCTTATGCTGACTATGCTCCATATATGGTTCCGTTTGTTTGGTTATGTGTACATATGCTTATGATAAATAAATTTTTGAAAATGTTTAAAAGGGAAAAGGAAGTGCAGAAGGAGGAGGTCAAAGAGAAGAGAGGAAAGCAGGCAAGATCTACAACAGAGCAGGGGATCAAAATGCTGTACACTGGTATAGATTATGTGCACATGATGAGACTTGTTGGCCAGCATGGGACCCCAAATCTCTCACTCCACACATTCATTTGTACACAGATTGATGTCTGAATAGGGATGGTGCACTCTAGGGCTTAAGCGTACGGGCCATGATCCAGGAAGTGTTTAGCTGAAATCTTTTCTCAGTCACATACTCATTAAGTGATCGAGGCTTAAGCAAGCCCCTTTATGTCACATGTCACCCACCATCTTACATCTGCAATAGGGAGATGATGATAATGATGATGATGATGATGATATTGTCCTCTCTTGTATGGTTTCTGTAAGGATTACCGGAAGAATGCATAGGTGCATTTCAACACTCTAAAATGCTACATAAATAATGCATGTGTTTTATTAGTTAGACATTGCCAAAAAAATTACAGTGGTACCTCAGGTTACATACGCTTCAGGTTACATACGCTTCAGGTTACAAACTCAGCTAACCCAGAAATAGTACCTCGGGTTAAGAACTTTGTTTCAGGATGAGAACAGAAATCGTGCTCCAGCGGCGCGGTGGCAGCAGGAGGCCCCATTAGCTAAAGTGGTGCTTCAGGTTAAGAACAGTTTCAGGTTAAGAACAGACCTCCAGAACGAATTAAGTACTTAACCCGAGGTACCACTGTATAGAAAAAGTTTTGAACAAGTATGTCAAAGTCATATTGTCCATACATTTCTGTTAATTACAAATGGTGATGGTACCAATTTTGATAGCTTTCTGTTGAACAGAGGCATAAGAATGAGTTAGTGTTATTTATGCCATTGATAAACTGAGATTATCTTGCTATTTGAAACACATTTTGGATTACTGCAGGAGAATGGAAAAGGGGTGAGAGTAATTTTATCCCATTGAGGATCTTTTTCACATCTTTCATTTTAACACATTTCAGACACTGGGTGCACAGCTTGTGCACAGGATATCTATGCTAGTTCAGCAATTGAACTTTTTAAATAGAAAGAGAGAGAGGGAGAGAATGCCTTCAGTTTTACAACAGCTCCCTGTCTAGCCTTGAGACAAAGGCAGCTCTATGTTTAAGAAGGAGGTTTCTTGGTTGCTGTCCCAGCTGCCTACAATGTAACACGGTGTCCCCAAGACTGGGATTAATGTACCAGGGGCTCCTCCTCCTTTTGCTGCCAGGCAGGGTCAGAAAGGATTTTCTACCACACATCCCCTTTACTGTACTGTGCAGTATTGCCACCTTAAAGAGCTTGCTCTAGATGGAAATGCAATTATCCCCCTGCTTACTCATTTAAACATTTGGCTAAGATGTCATATTTCAAATAAGCCAAGTGCTTCAGAAACCAGAAGGCCATGCATTAAGCACTGCGTGCGCACATTAGCTTCCACATCCCCAATTCCAACAGTAACCTTCCACACTGCTTGGGAGGAATGCTTCCTGAAAACTTAACATAATCTCCTTCATTATGTTATGCTCCTTCATCTGTTCCAGCTCCACTTCTACCTTTCAGGGTGCTTGTATCTTATATGGTTTGGTTAAAGCAATGTCCACAGGATCTCCTTTACGTAGACCAGTGTCCCCAAACATATCTCCGCCCCCACCCCCTACTGTCTTCTGTAGACTCATACTTGGAGCTTCTCCATGACTGAGATTATCCAGGTTATGACTATTGCATACTCAGTGAACAATATCTGCTTCTCTTTGTAGCTTGTTTGTGTTGTAAAGCATAAATAAGTGACACCTGTGTAAAATGGTTTCTGCTTTATGTAAATAAGGGGTGGGGTGCTCTGGAATCTTCTGTAGGTCATCCCTCTTAAATTGCTGTCCCATCAGCTCATAAATCACTTTTGGAACAATGATTGTCCCAAATATATTCTTCAGGAAGGGTTACTGTCTTTACAAAATATGGAACCTAAGAAAAATAAGACATCCACTACTACGGTCACTTTTGAACACAGCAAAATAGCGTATTTGGGAGCACATCCTGAAATGTACACTCCCATCACTGGGGCAAACTCCTCTGTGAATTCTTACACAACTCGTGCATGCTGTTTGAAAGGGTATCTTTGTGTTGCAGAACACTTTTTAAATGGCAGGATTGCTTTTTCTTGGACTTCCAGTATGTATCTAAAGGTAAATGTAAAGGGAACCCTGACCATTAGGTCCAGTCGTGACCGACTCTGGGGTTGCACGCTCATCTCGCTCTATAGGCCGAGGGAGCCGGCGTTTGTCCACAGACAGCTTCCGGGTCATGTGGCCAGCATGACTAAGCCGCTTCTGGCAAACCAGAGCAGCACACAGAAATGCTGTTTACCTTCCCGCTGGAGCGGTACCTATTTATCTATTTGCACTTTGACGTGCTTTCGAACTACTAGGTTGGCAGGAGCAGGGACCGAACAACGGGAGCTCACCCCTTTGTGGGGATTCGAACCGCCGACCTTCTGATCGGCAAGTCCTAGGCTCTGTGGTTTTACCCACAGCGCCACCCGCGAGTATGAATCTACTCTTTTTCAAAATTACCACCTCTTCTTCTCATGTTTTATGGAGTAAAGGTTACCTTCTCCAAGTTGCTCCAAAGTTATCTTTCCTATCCTGCTCTGGGTTTTTGATATACTCTGATTCCCTTGCTTATCCCCATGGCTTGGTGAAGGACTGAGTCTTCTATTAGCTACATTCTTTCAGGAACCCTTTCTGCAGAAAAGCCTTCCCCAGCCTAGTGCTTTCCAGATGTTTGGGTCTACAGTGCAGTGGAGACTGGTGCATTGGGGTGAACGGGGCAGTGCCCCACCAACCTCACTCTGCCTTCAGCCACCCCCCACCTTCTCACAACCAGCCCGGGGGGGGGGTGGCACTGGCTGTCCACTTGCCCTTCCTCAGTCTTGATGTTGCTCTTGTGGAACTCAACAGGGAGGAGGATGGAGACAAAACTAGCATTAGTTGGTTTTGCTTGCAATTGGCTCCAATTCTTCCTACAGTTGGCATCCCTGCCTTCTCCCCTACCAGTCCCAATTGGGTAATACCACTTCTACAGTACCCACCGGCCCCATCAAGCATGGCCCATAGTCAGGAATGGTGGGAACTGTGGTTCATAACTGATGGAGGACAAAAGATTGGAGAGACCTTTTCTAGAATTACAGCCACCAATCTATCTCTACCAGCACTCTTATGTTTTTTAACAGTAAGCTCAGTCTTGTTCAGACAAAGCCCTAACAAATGACTCAAGGATTTGACTAGTCTTCGACAGCAGACTTCTCATAAGCTACATTCCTCTTGGGAGTGAAATAGGCATCTAATCTGGCTATGGTTGTGCTTGTTGCCCTCTTCAGCAAAGATAAAGGAATTGCAAACATTGGGCGATATTCAACGTTAGCCATACTCAGACTATACCCACTGAAATCAACCAGTTGAATCCAATTGGTTTGCTCTGAGAAACGTTTACATGAATAGCAGCCATTGTTGGCTTCTTTCCCCATAACATAAAGCGATGAGCTTTATGTGCACTATTCCTCTGAGGCCAGGCAAAAGCAAGCAAATATTTTCTTCTATTTCTTCCAGGGTGCAGGATTATTAGAGCTGAAGACTTCTGGTGCAGGGAACAGTGTCATTTTCCTTGTCTGGTTAGGAATCTGTAAATTTACAACATGACTTCTGACACCATGTTATGGTCTTCCATCGATGTGTCATGCATTAAGACGCACATCTATGAAGATTCCTTTTATGTGTCTGAGGAGGAGCTCTGTCAACTTTAATGGAATCACTCTGAAATAATTAGTTGTGAGAGTGAATGTTAAAAATTTAAATGTCAGTAAGCATTAGAGGTCCAAAATTTCACATAGATGTCCTATTGACTTTAATTCATGAATTGCGAGCTACTGCCCAAGGTTACAATTCTAGTAAAATCAGTGGTGTTGTAGTGGAGTAAACGCAGTCAGAATTATACCTGGCTGTCTTTTCCAACCTCTAAACTACCACCCCTGGCTCAGAACAGAGCTAAATAAAATGTCCCTTTGTACCAGCAAATGCTTATTAAAGACACTGTCGCAATATAATTTATTCGACTTCCTACACAACTAACCAAAGCAAGCCATTACATAACAAGTAACTGGAAAGCAAATGTGGTGTGGATGCCATTATTTGGAACTTGTACTCTGATGAAAAGAATGCCAATTCCTTGAAACAGTATTTTCCCCACCCCCTTTTGGAGGTTTGTGCCAGTAATTCACTCGCTGCCAGTATGATGCTTTTTGGAAGGACTCTGTTCAGAGTTTGCAGCAGAGATTGCCGGGGATTCTTTTTTCTTAATACTGGCTGGGAAGAATGCATGTGTGAGGAAGGCAGTGGAAGCTGAAGATCAGATACTCAGTGCCACTTGAGTGGATGAAATGAATACTGGAAAATAACCCTCTCTTAAATTAAAACTAAGTGGGCCCCAGTTAGGTTACTTAAGCCTAGATTTGCAAGTACAATTACATAGGCTATTGTATAAATTAAAAAAAAAAACTAGCCCAGTGAAGACTGTTGAAAGGGGTGGGTAAGGGAAGGAACAGGTAACAGAGAATGCAAGATTGCTTCCCCCCCCCCCCTTTTATAAATTTAATCACTGATGTTGCACAAAGCTTTCCATGCTTCATCACGCTAGCAACTATCCCCATCCAATGGAATTCTGTTATTCCCATTTTGGTGATGGGGAAGTTGAAGTCAACAAATTTTATCTCAAGTCAACCAGCTGAGGAGGAAGTGGAACTTGGACCCAAATCTCCTAGATCAAAGGCCAATAATCCACTGGATCGTGCTGGCTGCAAATCAATGCAGAGACATTCTTTTTACAGGGGAAAATGTCAGTGAAAAATCAAATACCTGAAGCCTTTGCCAGATAGTTCAATATAGTGCTGTAATCCACAATTTAGCAACACTTATTTATTTAAGTGAAGCACAAGCCCCTGGCACAAGTTGTATGATTTTCCAAAATAAGAACCTAAGCCTATAACTAATCCTAAGTACGTATAACTGAAATAATTGCACATTCTGCTCCTGTTCACCCCTGCCTTCACTCCTCTCCCCTTCTTCTGTTGCCTTTTCCTGTGTTGAATTTTAGACTGAATGCTCCTTGGGGAGGGACCTGTCCTCTTGCAAAGTATCATGAATGTTGATGTCTCCATATCATTGATCCAGATCCATAGGTGGGGGGAAATCAGGGCAGGGTAGGGTAATACCTTTATTGGAACCAATCAAAGTGTCACAAAATATCGAGCAAACCGTCATGTTCTCCATAACTTTTCATCAGGAATAAGGCTGATGTTGGTTAGTAGTTCCCAGTTCCTTATTCCTAGTTCCCATGAAGGGTTGAAACAGAGCTGCATAATTAGTGGTAATGAGGAACTGAAGTATCTGCATAATCAGTGGTAATGAGGAACACACTTGTACAGTGGGTACCTCGGGTTAAGAACTTAATTCATTCTAGAAGTCCGTTCTTAACCTGAAACTGTTCTTAACCTGAGGTACCACTTTAGCTAATGGAGCCTCCCGCTGCTGCTGCACAATTTCTGTTCTCATCCTGAAGCAAAGTTCTTAACCCGAGGTACTATTTCTGGGTTAGCAGAGTCAGTAACCTGAAGCGTCTGTAACCTGAGGTACCACTGCACCACTAAAAAAGCTTTGTACTTTCCCTAATCATATATCTCCAAGACCAGGGATGGTCCTCTTGAGATGCACAAGAATTCTCTGCAATCAAAATGGTTGGGTGTTGGGTTGTTTGTTTGTTTGTTCGTTTGTTGTAACGTTATTTAATGCTTGACAACACCAGATGATATACCCACATCTCCAGGAGGTTGTCCTTTTTTATACACCCCAGTGTCACATCCAGTTCAGTGCCTAATTTTGGCACACTACACAGTCAAGGGCTCTAGGCTCTCATCTTGCCAATGTATCTGCAAAATAAAAAGGAGCTGGGAGCGTGCCCCCACAAACTAAGCTTTAGGCCTCCACAAATCATTTATCCCACACCTCCAGGTATTATGCCAGACCAAAAGAAAAGAGAAAAAAAAGTTGTTATATGGTTGCAAAGAGGACATTGGTTTATGACACTTGCTGAAGGAACCGAACTCCATGAAGATTCCAGATAACATGAAGCTCTAGCTGTAGGGCAGTATGTTCATAAGGGAAGGACTGTAGCTCAGTGGTATAGCATTTGCTTTGCATGCAAAAGGTCCCAGGTTCAATCCCTGGCATCTCCAGATAAGGCTGGGGAAAATGCCTACCTGAAACCTTACAGACTCATTACTAGTTACTGTTGATAATACTGAGCTAAATGGTTGAATGGCTTGACTTTGTATAAGGTAGGTTCCTATGTTGGGGCGGGGAGCATTTTTCAGTGTGGGGGTTGTATTCCTTCATGCACAATGCTCGTGCCAGTGGTGAGCAGGGCCAGAGCAATGGATGCAACTCTTACCTTTATGCAGCAGGCAAAAGCACACAAAATTAAGAGGCTTCTTCACCCTCTCTCTATCCAGGCAAGCAAGAGGCATTGTCACAGTTCAAGGTCACATTCCAGCAAGGCAGAGGCACTCAGGGAAGGCATGAAACAGAGCCAATCGGGTGTCTGGCTTGCGTGTATCCTGGGGACAATCCTGAAAGCCAGACAGGGACCCCTGGAGGGCCACATCTGGCCACCCCATCCTATGTAGCTGTGAAGAATCTCTGCACAGTGGGGGTGAGGAAACTTGTGGTGTGAATTGGTCCTTTGTCACTAGACAAACCGATAGTTATCATCATTCACTTTTGACAGGCAATGCTCATGGCATGTCTGGGGTGTTCCACAGTTTGCAACTGCTGCAGAAAACACTGGTGGTTCCTGAAGTCTAGTATATGGGGTGACATCCAATGGTGTCAGCCTGCCTGCACAACAAAAAATCAGTTTGCATAAATGGAGATTCTCCTGCCTATTCTCTCTTCTCCCCGCTGTAGCTCCGCATTAATTCCAAAATCTGCTCCATTGCCTCTACTGGTCCATCTGGCTCAGCAGGGTCTCTTCTTATTGGTAGTGGCTTTCCAATGTATTTCCATGCATGTCTACTTGAGATGATCCAGTTTTAACTGGAGATCCTGGGGGAAATCAGGCTCATGGCTCAGAATAAGCATGCAACTGAGGCTGAGAACGCTGGTTAATATGGGAAGTATATTCCATAAACAGCAAAACAAAACAAACAAACACCCTGATGTCTTCAAAATGATTCTCAGGCTTGAGTGGGGCGAAACATTGTATCCCGATTCTCACAAATACTTTGCATGGCTATATCAAAAGATACAGTGTAATAATACATGCTTACTACAGAAACTGTATACAACTTTCAAACTAACGATTTCCCAAATAAAACACAGATACTGGCATCTTGACCTTGGGCATCACTGCCATTTCAGCGAATTGTACTTGCTTCCAAATGATGAGTTTATGATCAGCATGTAAGATGGACAAGAGAATTTGTTTTTATATGTGTTTCCAGGTTTGTAGAACTTGATGGGAAGCTTGTAGAACTAGATGGGAAGCTGCTTTCCATCACATAACTGTGATCACTAAGAGTCTCCTTTATCATTTCATTGTAGTTCAACTACACATGTCTCTGTGTAAAAAGTGTGTCCATCTCATTCCCTGCACTGATTTTCTCCAATAAGTTACTGACTTAAAAAACCAACTGCAAACAAAAAGCCATGCTGCCATTTCTGAATATGCTTTGGATGCAGCGAGTTCCCTCCATGGGCAGGAGAATGGCACATATTACCTTCCAACTCTATGATTCTACAAAACACATAAAACACTGCCAGGATAAATCACAAGTATGGAATATATTTATGCTGTCCAAAATCTAATTTCCCAAAAACTACTTGGGTGTATGGAGAGTTCAGAGTAACTGGTGCAAGCCAAAAGTTTCAGGTTTGGTGTTAGAATAAAAACTCAGTAGCACCTATATGTGACCTGATTCCCAGTTGATGTGCACTAGGTTGTTCATTATATCATACATCATTAACTTCATCTTATCATTAGTGCAGTCCTTGTGATCCTCTGGGACACAGGCTCAATGGTGTAACTACAAACACACACGAACACATTACTGATAATTGGGTTAGCTACTGAGCCACCTTGAACCTTCGTTTTCTCATCTGTATATTCATTGAGATGACTGATAGGCCCAGCTAACATGAGGCTTCCAATCCCCTTTGTGGATCACCCTTACATTTCATGCTCTTACATTTCAAATTACATTTCAGAAGCTGTAAGCTTGGCAGGGTTTTTTAAATAAAAAAATTACACGCACAAAAGTCACCCAATAAGATTGCATTTTTCATTCATCTGTTAGCTCCCTACTTGTAAAACCTGCCTTAGTTAAGAAAGATTTGAACCCAGGTGAGTACCTTTTTAAAGCTATCAACAGTGCAGAACTGGGTTTGTTTATTGGAATTGGCACAGCGAGAAATGTATACAATAACCTTTAAGGGGTTTCCAAAGCTTATCTGATTCTTGTTTCATGTCATTCTATGAAAGGCATGAAATCTATTAGGGATAAAGCTATATACAACTGGATTTTTATCACAAACACACCCTTTCTCCTTCCATTCTTATTGCAGTTGTGATGTGACTGTAAACTGTTACAACATTCATTAACATGGCTTTCAGCTAATTGTCAAGAATAGGTATTGTAGGTCTTGGAATACTTATTATTTCTTTCTCATTATGTACAGCTTAGTGCTCTTTTAGATAGATGGGGGGGGAGAGACAAATCCCATTTTAGCTTTGTTACTGTCAGAAGTGAATGGCTACATACCTGTCATCTGGCTACAATGGTCCTTTGGTCTGGTAACCGACCTTCCAGATAGTAACTAAGGGCTTTTCACACAGTAAGACCCAAATTTTGACCAAAAATATATATGTCATTGTCCTCGTTTTGTCTTACAGGCTGAAAACATTCCCTGAGCCGTTATCCTAACATGAGTATTTAATTTTGCCGCAAAAGAATACATATACAATCTGAACACTCACATAAAAGACCTAATCCAAATATGGTCATGAAGAACCCGACTGAATAAGGGTAATGGTGGTGAAGCTGGAATGCTAATACTCTAACATGCATTTGTTACATTCAGATGGATTTGTTCCCAAAGCTAGTAGCTAGATCTGAATTTCCTAGGATTTTCTAAATAACTTGGATCTGCAGTAGGAAGGAAGGAGCAGAGTGCTGCCTTTTAAAGTGCAAAATCTGTTGGGCAATACTTTTATTGGGATCAACGAAAACATCACAAAAGTGTGGAGCTGTTGTGATATTTTGATTAATTCCAATAAAAATATGGCCCCACAATGTATGGTGGGGTTTTTTTAGGAACCTGCATGTCTACTTTGGTTTTTTACGTCCCTTTAAACTGGCCTTTCATCTTTAATTTGCATACTACTAGAGTAGGTGGGGAAGGAGTAATTTGGAAGTACTATTGGCAGCCAAGGATTCCTCCTACAGTTCTTCAAGGCTTGCCTAAGCTGATGTTAGGACCAGTTTGTAACAATGGAGTGGTATAAACTAACTGCTTCACCCATTTCTACAAAAGAGTTAGGTAAAAGGAAAGTTTCTTCTTCTTTTAACCCTTACTATAGCGGCACCATGAATGTTTTCTGTTCAAGTGTGCACAAAGACAGAAGATCTGCAAGGGCAGCTGATTAAGCCTGCAATCCTATAAACCCCTTTATCAGAGAGTAAGCCCTATTGAACTTAATGGCACTTACTTCCAAGTAGATTGCACCATATAGGAAGCAAGTGTGTGCATGAGTAGAGGAGCTCTTCATATACAGAGAGCAACCCAAAACTGCACCCTGATTCTTCATAGGATGCATTTTGAAAAAATAAGCTGTGGGGCAGAAAAGGAGGGGAAGGAGGGAGCTCAGTGTCTTCTGTTGGTGAAACCAGTATGTAAAATATGGTTTCCCTGTGGTCCTCAGTGTGCTTTTGTTAATGGGTCTGAGAGCAACAAATGAACAACTGTGAATCTGTATGTGTTGAGAATCAAACACCTGTATGCAGATAAGAACATGTGTCTGTCTGTGTGTGAGGAAACATTAGTTGGGGAGGTCAGGTGTGGGCGGGGAAGAGAGGATAAAGTAATGTGGGCACAGCAGTTGTTGCCTATAGACAGAGAGAGAGAGAGCGTGCTATATATATGAGATACAGTGAGAGAAATGGATGGTGTTTGCCTGTGCAAGGGCTGTGTGGGTGTGCTAACAAGAACAGTGTGCATATCAAGAAAATGTGGTGCATATGTTGCGTGAGGTGCATTGTCTTGCAGAGAACAAGCATTTGTGTGCAAGGGAAAGGCTAAAGGTCTAAAAAAAAAAGTGATGGCATTGCGCTAGATATGAGACAAAGGATAAAGTGGGCACGAGAGAGAAAAATGGGGTATAGGAGCGTGAGGCAGCATGTCATGTACAGGTGTGAGAAAAAGTGTCTGCGGGTAATGATGTGGGAGAAAATGAGGGGATGAGGCAGAGGAATAAGGAGGAGGGGTGTGTGTGTGTGTTTGAGGGCAGGGAAGCATGTGTGAACGAGAATGAAGGGCATGTGTGCACCTGCGTGTGTGTACGTGGGCAGAGAGAGAGAGGTGCTGCGTGTGTATCCTTGGCTTGCTGAGCGTCTACGAGGAAAGCATGAATGGCGCGCGCGAGGGCGAGGGCGCACGGCTGTGGCAGGTGTTGGGGTGGGAAAGGCGCTGCTGTGGGCGCCTGTGAGGAGAGAGCCCGGCTCTTGTCCGTGGGGTCTCCTGGCTTCTTTCTCAGCCCTCATGGCTGAAGAGCGAGAGGGAGAGCGTGCGCGCGCGCGAGAGAGAGCGCGCTCTCCTCCTCCTCCTCCTCGGAGGGATTTAGCGTCTCCCGGCGGGAGAAACGCGGCTGTCCGCTCCGGGCGCGCCAGAAATAGGCTGGTCCCTTCACTCCCTCACTCACCATGTTGCCGCCGCCGAAGGGGGTCTCTGGGCGGGAAGGCGGCGGGGCGCGCTCGGCAAGGCGAGGAGGAGGCGGCGCGGAGAGGCGCTGTCCAGGGTATCCCGGCTCTCCGTCAGCTCGGCAAGCGCTCCAGCGAGTAGCGGCTCCTTCCCCGGCCGGGCGTGCTGGGCTTCCCGCTCTCTCCGCCTCCGCCTCTCGCTCTGCAGCTTAAGGCCAGCTCCGGCCTCCCCATGCTCCGCGCGCCCGCCCCGCCCCCCGGCCTCGCGCGAAAGGCGAGGGGCTGCGGGGGTGACTTCAGAGAGGGGGCGGGGCCAAAGGCGGCTCCTCCTCCCCCTCCTCTTCTTCCAGCGCGAGCCGGGAGCTCAGCTTGCGCGCGCCAGCCAGTGGGTTTGCATGGGGAAGGGAGCCGGCGGCGCCTGCTTTTCACGGGTGCGTTTGATCTTTGCAACCCCTCCGCGGGGCTCCTTTGGCCCACTTGGCTCCGGGGCTGCTGCAAGGCTGCCAGCCAGCCCGTTTCTCTTGCAGGGGCTGCGAGTTTAGCGACCTCCAGTTGCAGATCTGGAACGTTGCAATAGATTCCCTAACTGTGGTGCCGTGGTTAGAGAGCAGGATTAGGCACCTGGGAGACCAGAGTTTGAATCCCTTCTCTGCCATGGAGCTCACTTGGGTTATCTTCTCTTAGCCTAAACGACCCCGCCGTATTGTAGTAAAGGAGGAGAGGGAGAGCCGTGCACCTTGAGCTCCTTGGAGAAAAAAGTGGGGTACAAACTGCGATCGATCGATCGCTCAATAGACAGACAATTCAGTATTAAAGAGAAAGTTGCAACAGCAAGCAAGCAGCAGCTTCGATGGTCCCTCGCCTGCAACTCCTGTGGGTACCTGGAAGTAAGCGCCATGGAACTTAGGGCCCCTTCAGACGTGCTTTCCATTGCGTGTTCACGGCGATTTGTGCACGTGGTGGTATAATCGCAGGAGTTACGCACGGTCCTCGCTTTCCACACCCGTTTGCACTAGCAAACTTGGGGGGAGGGAGAGAGGATGGGCTGCCATGAAGCTCACCTAGGGTCCCTTAGCATCCTAACCTGCCTCACAGGGTTGTTGTTAGGATAAAATAGTGGAGGGAGAACTGTGAACCGCATGACCTCCTTGAAATTGGGATATTAATGTAATTTTTAAAAATAAAGAAATCTTGCAGAACTGCAAAAAGGCTCCAGTATGGAGGTGTCTGCAATGGGGCTTATTTCTACCTTCAGACAGTTACCTAAGATTATTACTTCAGTAGGAATATTTGGCCTTTTCAAAGTAATGCAACTTGTACTGTGTAAAGGGAACTTTTGGTACTGTACCACTGAGGCACAGAAGCAGAACTGGTACGAGACTCTTTTCTACCCCAGGCAAGGCTAACTTCTTGCACAAACACATCCTAAATTACTCACTTCAATTTTCTAAAACAGACGTCTTGCAGAAAAAAAATGAAAAGCACCAAACTTGGCTCTGCTAAATTTATTTTAAATTGCAATAAATAATACAACGATCTTTGATTAGCTTCTCAAATACAAAAGAAAATGTTTTAGCATACAAATCATTTTGAATAATCTTGTCAATTGTGGTGTTAAAATTTAAGTTTCAATTTCAGGCACATCAAAATCTCGCTTAGCATATGCTTTTTCCTTTGCAAATTTTGCCACTGGTTCCTTCAAGTCGAGTGCTGAGGCTTGGGCATTTTTCATGGATATAGTTGCCAAGCCAACCAGTTTCTTTTGCAACATTGTTGAGCATATGTAAGTTTGTAAAAGTTTGAGTTTTGAGAAACTGTGTTCACCGCTTGCCACTGACACTGAAAGTGTGGGAAGGATGCTTAGATCAACAGAAACGTTAGGCACGTTATCCAGGAGTTTTTGTTGTAGTACGAAGAGAAGTATTCCTTTTGGCGGCAAAGACTTTGGAAGTCTTCGAGCTATTGCTATAAGTTCACAGCACAGATCTTCAGCATCAATATATTTGTTTCCATAATGCATCAATTATTTTCCCAAATTCTTGCAGGCCTTAAGTGCATCTTCAGTAGATTTGTTGTTGATACTGTATATATTGTTGTAGCTGTTGGAATCTCTCTTTAGCAGATTGTATGGCCATGTCTAAGTAGAAACCTTCCTTAGTACCTTCAAGGGAGCTTTGTTACTGCCAGTGGTCATTTTAGGAATTTCTGCTGTGTTTCTCTGAACATGAAGGGTAAGGTTTTATCTCATTTCTGATAAAACTGAACACACCTCAGCAAAGCAAGGTCCAAGGCTGTTGTCCACATGGCCTGTATGGCTGGATTATAGAAAAGCAAAATACCAGACCCAATGTGTACGATCTTTGCTGCCTCACCTTGTTCACTATCAATTGTTGGATGTTACTAAAACCTAGCCAGAGACCTAGCACTGGATAATGTAGCTGGGTGATCATAATAGAATATTGAGAATATCAGGTCAAATCCAGTAAATCTAGTAGACTACCTGGGGTGCTGGATTTATCACAGGCTACCTATCTAAGGGGTAAGCAACTTGGTGTTCATGGATAATGGAAGTTGCAGTCCAAACAACTGAGGGTGCCACCATGGCTGTCTCTGATCTACCTCCACAGTTAGCCACTCAAAAGCTTCCACATATGGTACAAATTTCACTTTAGGTAAAATGATGGTGGCAACTCAGAAAAACAGAGTTCCTTGTCTGCAGCTCTAAGTCTCTATATTGCATCTGGTGTTGGACAGCTCCATGTATGCAGTGACCATGGTCAAACCACTAAGCTCTCTTGGGCTTGCTGGTCAGAAGGCCGGCGGTTCAAATCCCGGCAACGGAGTGAGCTCCCATAGCTCTGTCCCAGCTCCTGCCAACCTAGCAGTTCAAAAGCATGCCAGTGCAAGTTGATAAACAGGTACTGCTGTGGCATGAAGGTAAACAATGTTTCCATGTGCTCTGGTTTCTGTCACGGTGTTCCATAGCGCCAGAAGCGGTTAAGTCATGCTGGCCACATGACCTGGAAAGCTGTCTGTGGACAAACGCTAGCTCCCTCGGCCTAAAAGTGATGAGTTCCGCACCCCATAGTTGCCTTTGACGGGACTTAACCTCCCAGGGGTCCTTTACCTTTACCCTCACCTTGCATCAATACCGGTTGGAAGCATCTATTTGCCTTTCATGTGGACTTTCCTCCCACTGTCTTTATCTCCTTTTTTCATGACAGCAAAGGGCCTGCTTACATCACCAAAGATTAAAGTACAAAGATAATTATAAAGCTCCCAATTATTTGGAGCCAGCAGTTTTTTAAAAAATGCACCAAATCTGCAATGCCCGAAGCTGGGATATGCAAAACCTATGTATTTCATTTCTTAGGTTAATAACTTGACCAGACATCATCTCTGCAAACAAGCTCCAGTAATAAGGAGCAGTTTAGAAAGATTAAAATAAATCCCAAAGACTTTAACTTGTAAACTTCTGTCACTTAAGATTGCTAGGAAGGAGCCATAAATGGGCTCATTTTTGGAGACACTTTTCTGAATAGCTCTCCAGAAACAAAGTGAGCAAGGGTACCCTTAAAGCAAGCTTCATATTCCCAATTTTTAACCAAGGCATCGTGTGATGTCCACCAGGCGTTGTTCTTCACACTGAGGTTTGTTCATGGGAATTTGTGCCCCATAAAATCATAGATTTGTACAGTTGGAAGAGACCCCAGCTGGCAGAAGGTGTGGAGGTCGGAGTGTGAGAAACAAACAAAACTGGTGATAAATGGAACACAGCATGCAGAGCAGGACATAGAAGAAGAGATCTTAAATCTACAGTTACATATTGTGGGATTGTGATGTAATTTAGAAATTTGATGATAACAACAACAACAACAGCAGCAACAACAACTAATCAATCAGATTTGTGTTACATACTTCACCCCCCTCCAGTCCTGGCTGGTATTGCTGCTCTAAGTAGTGCAATCACTGTATTTCTTTCTCCAAATAATTCCATACCTTCAAGCCACCTTGGGAGAGAAGCATTCCCACCCAGATGAGTTTTTTTCTGCTGCAAGGAAGCACGTCTTAGAAAACTGGCCAGTTTTCTCTTCGTTTTTGTTTACTAAAAGCTCTTTGGTAGATTTCTGGAATGGAAAAGTGTTGAAACAGATGGCTAATGTTTTCCATGCATCTGTGTGAACACCCAACATGGGGCTGTGCAGGCTTCTTACATTTTGCATGATGGTCTGTACTGTGTTTTGTTTTTTGGTGTAACTCGGCGTAATAACTATAACTGTCTGTGTGTCAGGAAAAAAATTATCTGTGTCCACAGAAAAACCTCTGCTCCCCAAGCACACAATAACCTATGAACTCTCTCTCTATCTCTCTTTCACCTCTCCACCTCCCAATAGGTTTTCTGTTCATCTCAATATTAGTTAAATGTTGTTTCCTTGAGGTATGCATGTGTTATTGGGAAGGATATGATGCCATGAAATGGTTGGTTAATGTTCTGGTTTGCATGTGATTGTGGGGGATAATTAGTGATCCAAATACCATGCAGCTTTTCATGACAGAGCAATTGGGAGGGGGGTTGTTGGGAGTTTAAAGTGCAGTTTTCCTGTTAAGAGTTAGTGTGAATGTTGCTTGATCAGAGAAGTGCTTATCTACCACCGCTTGCCAGGCAGAGGATAAGGCAATCTTCCCTTCAGTTTTCTGGGCATGACTTTTAAACTGTGTGCTTGTATCAGATTGACACAGATGGGTTTCCAGCAGGGCCCTAACGGGGTAGTCATATTGATTTTTGTTGTACTCCACCTCTGCCTTTCGATTGCTGCCAGCTTTTATTTGGTCTTGCTTTTAGATGCAGTGCTAACACAGGACTCACTTCCTTGCTTGCTAAGGAAACTTTCCTTTCGGATATTGGACAGTTTGGTAGTTTTTTGTTCTGCTGCTGTTGTCTGTTCAGTTTCCTTTCCCCCAAAGATTTTTCTTCTACAAAATCACTACAGTGGTACCTCGGGTTAAGAACTTAATTCGTCCTGGAGGTCTGTTCTTAACCTGAAACGGTTCTGAACCTGAGGTACCACTTTAGCTAATGGGGCCTCCCACTGCCGTTGCGCCACTGCTACGCGATTTCTGTTCTCATCCTGAAGCAAAGTTCTTAAGCCGAAGTACTATTTCTGGGTTAGCAGAGTCTGTAAACTGAAGCGTCTGTAACCTGAAGCGTCTGTAACCTGATGTATCATTGTACTGGGGGGGAAAGGACCA